GAAAACCGACAACTGGATGTTAAAAAAGATTATATCGGCGTCACTACCAGAAACTTGGGAGTAAGGCTCAAAGAACATAGATACGCCATAAGAAAAGCATCTAATTCAACGATATTGTCACAAATGGCGCAAGCGCAAGGCTCTGAGGTTAAATGGGATGAGGCAACAATCATCAAGCCTCTGTCTTCCCCAACTCTAGCAATGACGGCGGAGAAAATTGAAATATACAGAAGTAGGATAGGGGAAGGCTGTTTAAATGCGAGAGATGCGGAGAGCCTACCATCGGCATGGAAATATTTGGTAAAGAAATACACTAGAAACTTCGACCAGAATTAATCCACTGAAGATTTATGTTATTTCTGTTTTAATTAATTAGTTAATTTATTTGTTTATATATTCTTCCGTTATTTTTTGCTTGTAAAATTTTTTTATTTTTTTTTGATTTAAATATTTTTATGTTCTATTTATGGAACATTTGCGTTCCATTTTTTCGACCTGAGGATGGCCTATTAACTAGGCTGAAAACGTTTGTTTTTGCAAATTATATTTATTTCTCGGCAAAAAAAGGTGTTTTCGTTATTATGATATTGATGACATTGACTATTTTAGTGATTCTGAAGTAAGTGAAGTTCACTTATCCAAATCAAGTAGTAAATCAGACTACTTATATACACTGTATGTGACAGCATATACACTGTAAATACAGGAACAGGAAAGCTCAAAAAATATTATTTTATTATTAGAAAAATATTTAGGGGCTAATTCTTTGTATATTTTTCATCAAAATTAATCATATATCAAATATCAATGATAAAAAAGTTGACGGTTTTTGGATGATCAGTCTGAAAAAAAAAATGAGATTGAGAAGGAATTCGACAGACAACTTTTGAGATATAGCTGTTCCTACACATTATTTACTTTGTAGTAACCTCTATATCTCCTATGAAGTAATAGGTTTGAATGGAGGTATGATATTTTGTTAATAAAATAGTAAGTAAAGTACAACCTGTATTAGGTATAAATAAAACATTTTTGACATATTTTAATAGAAATAGTTTGTCAATTTGCATTTTTTACCAGATGCTCGCTCTTTGGTGTTTATAAACTAAACTATTCTATCTGGGTCATTTGATTCATTCTTGTGTATTATCAGCAGTAAACATGAATAGCAATAGAAAAAGCAAAGCTTTATGCAACATAAAGCTTTGCTTTATCTATTGCTATTCATGTTTACTGCATTCCAAATTGCAATTTCAAAGCCTTGTTAGTGCTTAATATAAGTTTTTGTCTATTCCCACATGAAAAACAGATGATTATTCGGAAATCTGTTGGTTATATTTATGAGCTTCTCTGAATTCTGAAAGAGTGGATTAGACTGTTAAGAATTGGCAGTTTCCCAATTGTCCAGCTTTACATGAACAAGTTATGCTGTCAATTTTAAAACATATTTTAATGTAAACAATAGTGTGTGAACAAAAAATACTAGATAATAAACACAATTTGGACTCACTATTAAAGTTAAGTTACTACCAGTACTACCATTTTTTTGTGACTTTTTTTGGAGAAAATTTGGAACCAGTATTATATGTCAATCAGCAAAAATCAGACTTGTATAAAATGAATCGGTGTGCATTTTTAAAAATTTAATAAATTTGTATAATTTCAAAAGTAATATATAATACAAAGTAAAATATATATATTTTACTTTTGTTTTTCAATTTTAGCTCTGATATCTACAGTATGTATCCAAATAAATTTATTCAGCTTGATGAATCACGTATATTTATTCTTAATACATTGTTTAATTTACCAGGTAAGTAATTTTAATTAATTTCACACTAATGAATCTAAATTAAAGTACAAAAATCAATTTTAAACACTGAGTTTTTATTTTCACATTTATTTATTTATTTATTTATTTATTTATTTTTTACAGAAGCTTATCTCTTAGCTTGTGTTGTAGATTTCTTTTCAAACTCTCCAAAATATACTCCGTAAGTTATATATTTAAATATTGCTGATTTAAAATTAAAATGTTTATAAATAAATGTTACTTACATAATTATTTTTATAGATCTCAAACTGGTGTTAAAAGTGGAAATGTTTTTATGTCATATAAATCCATATTTCGAGATTTACGTGATGCAATGGATTGGTTACATACAAATGTAATTATCTATAATATTATTATTTATGTAATATTTCTAAATAATGTGTATTGATTTTATTTCAACACAATTATACATTTTTATTAGGGAGCTTTAAAAGAAGAAACCTTAAATAATTTAGATAAATATGTGCACAGGGATGAACGTCTTCCAATGCTGTTTCACAGGTTGGCACTTGTTAATTTAAAATAAATTAGTTTAAATAGAAATTATGTTATTTCTAATTCTTAAGAAATTTATTATTCATGATTTTAAAGAATATTTGAAATTTGTAAACAAATTGGAATGTACAATTTATTAGAAAAAAACATTTATTTAGGAAATTAGTTATTAAAAATATTGAATTAAGATTAAATATTGAAAGTATTAATCAGTTTGATTTTGTATCTTTAATTTTCTCAGAATTTTTATTTTAATCCCATTTAATTCATGTTTTTAAATGAAACAAATTAAATTTTGAGTTTTTCTTAAATTTCAGAATGCATGAGCATGGAAAAATAACATTCCTCCTTACAAACAGTGATTATTCATATACAGAGGTAAAATTTTTTGACATTTTAAATGAATGTTGTAATATTTTATATTAATTGTAAGTGTAAAATATTACAGTATAAAGTTAAATTTTAAGTATATAATATTTAAAACTTTTTATGATTAAAAATTTATATTTTCAGAAAATAATGTCATATTTATTTGATTTTCCTCACTTGAAAAAAGCAAATGTAAGTAATTTTTAAAGAAATGTATTTAATTTACTAAGCTTACAGATTTCTTTTTATTAATGTTTAAAAAAAAATTACAGAAAGATTGGAAAACCTATTTTGATTACATTTTGGTGGATGCAAAGAAACCTTTATTTTTTGGTGAGGGAACAACACTTCGAGAAGTTGATATAGTGAGTAATTAAATTGATTTAAATGCTTTATTTTTTTGAGTTCATTAGTACTTATGTTTATTTTATGTTTATTTTATTCTTAAGAGCACAGGAACTCTTCAAATTGGCACACATATGGGACCTTTACAACCTGGTCAAGTATATTCAGGAGGTAATTTTAGAATTTTAGTCTGAAGATTATTCTTGAATGTGTATATTATTAAAAATTATATATTAGTTTCTAAAGACTTCAAAAATTAAAATTTAATCTCTTTTAATATGTAATTTTTTAAAGTTTCTTTTTTTTTTCATTTTTTAATTAAGAATACATGAGAAATTTATTAAAAGTTTTTTAATAAAATAGAAAGAGTAATAATCAAATTATTTAAATATAGAAAAATCAGAATTACTATATAAAATTTTTACAGATTTATTGAAGTAAAATAATACATAACTTAAAATACATCTAATCCTTGATTTACGTAGTAGTATGTTGTTTAAAATCAAATTCATGTAAATTGATACTAGCATTTTAAGACAAATGGAAGCTAAGGTTTCAAAGTTCCATTTTTCATTAACAATTATAAAATGAGCAAATATTAAATATTGTTCTGTATCTTTCATTTGTTGATAGAGAAAACGTTTTATTTTATTTTTTATTTGAAAATCTTACATTACTTCCACTACTAACTGCCTTCTAGTGCAACCAACTAGAGTGTTCAGTGGATTTATCACTGAACACTCTAGTTGTTTGCTTGTTTGTGTCTGACCAACAGACTAGCTGTGGCATTTTTAGGGTTTCTTCATGTGTATAACACTTAAATAAGTGCTAGTTTCCCCATAGACAGTCCTCCTGGGAGGCATGGCATCTCTTTGGCAGATTGCCCATGTGTTTCTTTGCCTTGTCTTATCAGTTCCTATTAACTTCTTTAATACTGTTTTTCTAATTAATCTGTTGAAAATATTGATGGTTTTGTTTCAATAAAATCTGTTTTCTAGATTTTTATTTCTATTTAAATTTTTGATATATAACTATATTCAATGCATATGGTGTGAAGCTATGACTTACTTGTTAGTACAAAGTGGAGGTTCCATCCCTCTGCATGTGTGTGTTGAAAATAGTGGCAACGTGATTTCAAGATTACAATTGTTAGTGTATTCTTAACAATTAATTTTGTTAATAAAAATGCTTAATTTTAAAATAAATTGCTGAAGAATATTTTTAAATGCTATGTTAAACTGAATTATCATACAATCTACCAAATTTTTTGATTGGTCTTAAAATAGCATGATCAAAAGTTTGGTAAATATTGTTTAGCAATCTAATATATTGATTAATGGATATTATCATAAAATTTCATCATTTAATATTATATTGTTTTTCTATGTTAAACTGAAACATGAAAGTTGAGTACTATGTTAATCAAGGGTTAATCTATATATATATATATAAATGGACATGTGTGTCCCTATATTTCACTTTTTAGCCAAAACTACACATTGCACATGAATGGTGTTTCTATGTGGTAGTAGCCTCAAGTCTCCATTCGTGCACTATGGTGATTGCGTCTCGATAGCTATAAGGGTGTGGGAGATATGGGCTTGAAAATGGTTGAAAGTGGAAGATTTTCTATTTCGATTTTAAAAATTTTCGAATTTGTATTCGAATTGGTTCGATTATAGAACGATTGTAAATGTTCCAGAAAATTGATCAAATTGAAAATAGTTCATTTGACTGGATGTAAAAATTCTCTAATTACTCTGGAAATGGGGGACCTAATTCTTGCATTCTGTGAAAACGGGTAAGATTGGCTATAATGTAATTATCTTAATCTTCACTATTGTTACCTTTTGCCCAGCGAAGCGGGTCCTTGCAGCTAGATTCTAGATTACTTAGAAAAACAGTCTTTTATATTTTGAAGTTTAGACTATGTACAAAAAGTCAAAAATAACTTTTGAGTCCATCTTTATCCTTTATACACCACCACAGAAGTAACAGCTTAAAAAAATGCTTTGAAGAACTCTTCTTAAACATTGATAAAAATTGGTAAAAAATTCCACAAGGTTAAAAAAGATCAAGTGTCAGCCTTTCATTGTAGGTTTCTGACACTTTTATATATTAAAAAAAAACTATATTACAAATGTATGAACAAATATAAAAACCCAGCAAAGCAGGTCCTTGCAGCTAGTTATATTATATAAATTGTTTTAATGATTTCTAAAAATACATAAAGTTAAACAAACAATTTAGTATTTTTATAATGTCTTTTAATGACGTCATGTGCAACGGATTATAAGCTAGTTCGAAAATATTCGAAATGTTTTTTTTTTGACTACTTGTTAATAATTTTTTATTAAATTCACTTAAAAATATTTATTATAAACGAAAATTAGTTGTTTTTATATACTTTAAATAGATGTCTTTTAATTAACTCTTTAATTTAGCTCTTATAAATATAGCTCTTATAAAATAAGCATGACATATCTTCAACATACTGTAGCCTGTAATTGAGGATGCACTTATTTTAATTCTAATAAATATTACATCACTTGCTGTCTTACTCCATATATTTATAAAATGCATGAATAGTATAATGCAAAGATGAGCAACCTTTTTCAGTGTGCATGCCAAAATTGCCAAGTTTATGATGCAAAATTTTTTCACATGCCAACCAAAATTTATGAGAACATAATTATTTGGAATTTTTTTAAATATTGAGAGAATTTTTCAAATAATCAAAAATCCACATATTTATATACTTTAGAAACCTGATAAATTCTTTATAAAACATGAAAAAAATATAAAAATGTATAATTATTTTTTAAGATAAGCTCTGGTTGTATGCTAGAAATGTCATTGTCATTCATGAATTGTCTATCCCTGGTTTAGTGAATCATTAAAGATGAAACAGGATGATTATGAATTCTTTACACCCTGCCATATATAATAAATATAGCATATTATCTAGTTTGAAATATTAATGCCAACAATTTAAGTCAAAATGACAAATTTTTTCAAGTTTTAATAAAACACAAATATTTGTTTATAATAAAACAAAAATTGAATATCTTTTATTTGTATTTTAATAGTAAATTTCAATTCTAAAAGTGTGTGAGAAGTTTTTCATTCATTATTTCACATTACTAGAAAACATATGCCACCAACATAACAACAATAGATAATGTTTTGATAATGTGCCATTGTTTATACTATTTTTATAGTAACAAAGCATTCAGAATATTTTTAAATATTAAAAGGATATATTCAGTAAGTATATAACACAAATATATTACTAGAGACATTTATCTGGTCTTCTGATGGGATGTAATTTTACTTCGGAAGCTATTTTTGTCATGTTTTATGTTATGAATAATAAATGAGACGTGAATGTGTTTTTGTCTACTTTTAGTATTTTTCTATCAGTGGAGATGAGTGGAATAATACAGTAGAGTTTATATTTTGAATGTTGTTTGTTAAATATTTACAAAATCGATAACTATAGTAAATTATGAACAAAAAATTAAAGGATAATTTAATTTATTTTATTCAATTTACAATTAATGAAACAAATTAATTATTGAAATTTAATTATTTGTAATTAAAAAAACTATTAACCAAAGAAGAACATAAAAATATTTGCTCTTTAATTTTTTCAATTATATNTATATCTATATATATATATATTGATATAAGAAGAACACTCAGAAACTAAGATGTCATACATTTTATTTTAAATGTAATTAAGTTACATTGTGGGAACATAGACATACATTCAGTATTTTTTTTCAATATATTTATCTATGCATTTATCATAGTGGTAGATCAAAGAATAATAGGTTTGGTGCTAAAAACACATATTGCATGCATCATAAATATTGATTTCTTCTAAGGATATATAAGGACAATATCTTCAATGGATCTTAAAGATATTGTCTTTTCAATTTGGAGAACAGATGGAAGTTCAACAGTACCAAATCAGGATTATAGATAAACAAGAGAAGAATTTTCCAGTATCATATGTTCAAGAGATTTCCTATGACCTCGGTCTCTTAGATGAAATCTATCAAGATGAGAAATTTAAGCTAACATCAAATATTAGTCAATGTGTGTAGGCTATAACTTCCAAACATATCCAAAGTTTGACTGTGGCTTTGATTTTATTATGGGGCTTGAGCTCTTATTATGATAAGTGCTTCAACAGATAATGAAATTAGATTTTTGTGCATGACTAAACTATATTGGCTCTGAATATTTCCATGCAATAAGGATATCATCTGCATAATGTAACTATAGTGAAGGATACCTATATATAACCTTAGGGACCATAAAAATTTTTTCTAAATTTCTCATAAGAATCTTATTTAATATAGATGAGAGATAATCAAACAACACTAACAATTCCAAAGCATTGGTTTTATTTAAAAAGAATACTTAATTTGCTAATTATCACATCTTATTACAATATTTTCATTTTCAAAAATCTTTTAAATAAATTGTTATTACTACCGTTGCAGCATTTTAATTCCAACAATTATCGTAGAAATTGTGTACTTAATTATTTTTATACTTTTATTTTTTGTTTTATTCTTTATTTTATTATTTATATAAGGGGTTTCCAGAAAATAAAGAAATTTGCACATAGCACTGCACAGCTAAATTACTGCCATCGATTCAAGGTCAATTTGTTCTCTGATGTGTTAGCTTAGCATGTATAGAGTTTTGATAACAGCAGTTATTTTTACTGTTTTGTTAATGGTTAAAATGTGTACAAAAATTGAAAGTGCAAAGTATTACTTTGTAGCAGTATTACAAAATACTGCTTAGTGCAAAGTATTATTTGTTTTTTAAATGCAAAGAAACTTTGTCCTGTAGAGGTTCGTAAACAAATCACGGAAGTGTTTGGTGATCACATTATGAACAATGTGTGATAAATTGGTGTTTAATATTTGATTAAGGAAATGTATGACTGCACTCTGCTGCAGCCACTGAAGCTGTGCTTTGGAAATATGGCTGGGAAGTTTTTGACCACTCACCATACAGTCCCAATCTGGCCTCCAGATTGGGACTGTATGGTGACTTTCACCTCTTTCCGAAGCTCTTTCCAAAGAGTTTTTGAGTCAGTTTGGAATGTTTTAGAATGGATGAGAGGTGAAAGAAGCTGTTAACTAACTGACTGAAATAACTGGTGGTGGAAATCTATGACAAAGGAATCCAAAAACCAGATCAAGTTACAACAAGTATTTTAATCAAAATGGTGTATGTATAAAAGTAACTGGTCTTGTACTAATTACTTAATAAAACTTTTTCCCATCATTACAATTTTTTCTATTTTTTATAGCCAAATGTTCTTTACTTTCTGGATGCCCCTTGTAATTTTCAAATTAAGAAATTGTAAATGCAACAGTGAGGAGTGTAAGTTAAATCTGTTCTTGCATGCACTTTGTGTTAGAAATTTGTAGTGTCAAAAATGTTTGAAATATACAAGTTTCTACTTTGAATGTTTGTTTTATCTATTGATATCACATCTGAAAAACTGGTTTCTGTTTACTGATATTAATCTAGTGTACACCTTTTTACAAAATCAATGCTTTACATCTATTCTTCATTATAACTTGTTTACATTTAAAATAAAGAACAGAAAACCTTGTTTCGCAACTTTTCTCTATATTCAAATAAAAAAACAAAGTTGTGTAATGTACTTAAGAATGCAAGCAGTTAACTTTACTTTCTACATTTTCATTTGTAGCATATTTTATTGAAATAGATTAGTTAATTATTATTAAGTTAAGTTATTTTTAGGGTTCTAAAAAAACCTTTTGGAAATATCAACTAACATTTTAAGTAAAATTTAATAGATTTAAAAATTAAGATATATTATTTATTTATTAATAATACTTAAGTAAAAAAGATTTTTAGTTAAAATAGACAAGTGAAAATGAATTTATTATTTGAATAATTTCTTCTGATTATTTTAAAATATATTTTGTAGTACATATATTTTATTTTAAATACTAATTTATACTTTTATAAGTCAGTCAAGAAATGATTATTATGTAGTTTTTAAATATTTAATATTGTTTTATTTTTAAAAATATTTATCTGTTTTTTTTCTTCCCTGATAGTTTAATTATTATTATGTATGATGAAAGTCATTTTGTGTGTTTGTTTAAAGTGAAATCTTTAATGATATGATTGAGTGTATGAGTCAAGATGGGAACTTGGGAATTTTTTAGGGCTCATGTATAAAATTTGTTGTTTAGGTCATTGGACCATGATTGGGCAAGGAAGTGAAAAGTCAGAAGTAAGATTTATGTATCAAGAATTATCTGTAACTTCTATAAACCCATTATTACATTTTGTTAGAATAAAAAGTATCAATCTTGTCATATATTATGGATGAAGTTCAGATACAAAAAAGAGGGCATTGGGTTTCCAAACACAGAGAGAGAGGAGGACTGCTAATGTCAGAAAGTTTTATTTTCAACCCATGTTACATGGAATGTGGGTTGAAAAAATACAAATTATATATTTTTACAACTATATACAGAATGACCAAAAAATCGTTTAACCAAGACATTAATCGAAATCATCTTACATGATGGTGATGATTTAAGAACAGTTAAAACTGGTTTGGAACAACTGCATGTTGGCATTTATGACGGCCAGTAAAATGACTGTATCACAATGAGAGCATTCAGCTGTTCGAAACTAGTTTTAACTGTTCTAAAATATATCTTGGTGAACTGACTTTGGGCCACACTATATATTTTTTTAACAAAATTCTTTAATTTTTAAATCAAAAATATATTTAATCTCAATTTTTTTTACTTTTGTCCATAATATATGTATATTTATACACAAAACTAGCAATCATCTGAACAAAATAATAATTCATTTAGGATACAAACTGTTTAATAAAATAACTGTAAACATAAAGGAAATTCAATATTATAATGTCTTTAAATTAAATTCTTTTTTGTAAATGGTAATAAAAATTATAATTTATTAAACCATTTTTAAGTTTGTTCTGCATTACTTATAACTATAGTATTTTTTACATTCTTATTTATTTTAGGGAGCTGTGATGTTTTTACACAGTTGATAGGTGCCAAAGGAAGAGATGTACTGTATGTGGGTGATCACATTTATGGTGACATTTTGAAGTCAAAGAAAACTCGTGGCTGGAGGACTTTTCTTATTGTACCTGAATTACAACGAGAACTCAATGTTTGGGTTAACAAACAAGAATTATTCAACAGATTACAAGATTTAGATGTCCAACTCGGTGATACATATCGGTATTATTATTTTTGATTACAACTAGGGCATATGTAGATTAAGTTTACTTAAAGATTCGTGTATGTATTTTATATAGTGATTTGGATAGCAGCTGCAAAGAAGTACCAGATATTAGTGATATAAGATCCAAAATCAGAGTGAGTACATTTAATAAGTAAAATTTTTTATTTTAATAAATTGTAAAATAGATCAAAATCTCAAAAAAGAAAAAATTCTAACAAAAACATGCTTTAGTAGTATTAAAATAAAATAATACAAAAACACTTGAAAAACCCATCATTAGGAATAAATGTCATATTCAGTTACTAAATAACCTGTTATATGGAACGCCATTCTCAAAGTTACAATATACTTCTATTTATAATTGCTAACTTTATGAAAGCATTTTTTTTATTGCTGGATGGTTAAGGCAGTTAAGGTGTCAGCTTACTGCTCTGGTCTTAGGCTCCCAGAGTGGACCTCGAATGAAATCCATATAGTTAAAAAAAACCCCAGGAATTTTATTTCTCCAGCATTATAGGAAATAACATAGGGATTGATCAGTCAAATTTTGATCCCCCCCATGATTTTACATTTCTTGATGTTTTAACACTTAAGGACCACAAAAATACATAAAAATTCCTTACAAAAATTGTGTGGTTTAGCATCTATTTTGCATTATACAGTATCTAAGGACTGAATGAATCAAAAATGTATCTTAGTGTTTTTTAAACGTAAATATTTTTTTAAATAGAGAAATTTCTTGTAATTTAAAAAATTATTGCTTTTAAGCTTTTGTTGTTGTTTACATTTTATATCATATTATATTTGAACCTCCTGTTTGAGTGTCGGGAAAGTCAAAGCCCTTGTCTACTTTTTTTATGGGCAATCCATCTTCCTCCACTACTTGGTTGTCCTCATTATAGGTGTGGCCAAACTCATGATAGGCTTTGAAAAAAAGGCCCTCTTAGTGCGCATAGGGTGGAGAGAATTAAAGACATTTGATTTATTGTAACCAAAAAAAAAAAACAAAAAAAAAATTTAAATTATACAGAAACTATAAAAACCCTTCTAAAGTGAACAGAATTACAACTTATTACTAGTTAAACTATACTTTATCAAATAAATTGAATATATACTGCAAAAAGTATCAAAAATTTTGAAATAGCATTTGAATAAGATTGTTTTCACAATACAAAAACATATATGACTTGTCTTTAATTTATAAAGAAAATATTTTAAAAAATTTTGTAACTTTCAATATTTTTAAGTGACATTTTAATGGAAAAATTATTCATAAAAACATGAAATAAAGCATTAATACGAGGGTCATTCTAAAAGTAAAGAATGTTTGTTTCTCTAGATATTTTTATTTAAGATAATGAAACAAAACTTATTTTATAACACATATGATACCTTAGCTATATTTTTACATAGTCACCATACAAATTTAAACATTTGTCATAGTGTATCATCAACTTTTCTATGCCTTCTGCACACTCAGTTACTGCCAAGTTCTTGAACCACTCATTAACGGCCGAAAGAGGCCATTCAGTTTGTTGTCATTTCCATAGTGATTCCTGGCTAAAAAAATTCTTCAATTTTGGGAAAAGATGTAATCACTCAGAGCCTAGTCTGGGCTATAAGAAGGATGTTCAAAACTTTCCACTTAAACTGCTGAAGCAATTTCTTCGTCAATGCAGCAGCATGCAGACATGCTTTATCCTGAAGAAGCACAATGCCTCTGGACAACAATCCTGCCGTTTGTTTCAGAATGAAACTTCCTTCATCACATCACCATAAACCTTGGTTATCTGTCTGTAAATTTTGATAGGGCAGACTTTTTCACATTCAAAAAGCATATTACACTACAAACCTCACACTTGGTGTGAGGATCTTTAATTTTGTCACACATTTCAAAGTCACACTGTAAACAGTAAACAATCGTTGTGGCTCACTGTTAGCATCAGACTGGTGCGAAAACATGAAAAGGTCCATGATGCAGCAGTGGAGGGTGGTGGGAGAACTGCACAGCTTGTCAGATCAAAACATTCTTTTCTTTTAGAATGACCCTCGTATTTATTATTCAAAATTACAATTCATTCATAATTTATAATAATATAAAATAAGTTACATAATATTTTTCTACATATATTAATGTGGCAAAACACTGTTAATATAATTTTTTATTATGAGACAGGAAAGATAACAGCTTCCCACTCTGAGAACTGATTTGAGTCAGATTGGTTCAGAAATTTCATGGTTTAACCTAAATATGTGACTTATCTTTTAGCATCTGACTACCTAGTAGGCCTGCTTGAAAGCCCATAATGGAAATGATACCTAGTTTTTTACAGGGAATACCATTTCTATCTTAAGAAATATAATAATTATTGTTTTTGTTAACTCTCTAGGAATGAAACTCTAATGCAAAACAAGACAAGCCTATTATAATGTACAGTAGCTGCAATAAATAAGAAGATTGGCACTGAAATTTATACATATACTATTCAAGGGATGAGAAAGATTTTTCAAAAGAAAATTTCTTCCAAAATTTGCTATAAAAAATATTTATTTTTATCCTTTTGCAAAAATTGAGAAAGAAAGTAATAAATTGTAAAATAGATCAAAATCTCAAAAAACATCTGGAAGTGAAGGCTTGCTCAGAGTTCGGGTGGTACAGCTGGCAAATGGAGATTTGAGGGTTCAAGCCTTGCTCCAGGCCAGTTCTTCCAGATGATTCTAAAATTATTTAATAAATTATTAAAATTATAATTATTAATTTAGATAAGAAATGGTGCCTAAAGTTCACCTCTAGTAACAAATTACTTAGTATTTAATCATTAAATAGCAGATTTATAACCTGATTATTTAAGACAATCATTTGGTTATATATATATATCAGACTTCAGGATACTTGAGAAAGAAACTTGAATAAATTGCCTCAAGAAATTGTTTCACAAATTCATATTCATTTGTTATTTATTTGCAATTTTTGACAATGTTTCTGACATTGAAGTTGAGTTTCAAGTGCTTGCTGTTATTTTGAGCCAAAAATTGTGTCTACAGAATGTAACAGCTCTGGAGAAATGTTCTGCATATGTTGTATTATGATGTCTTTTATAAAACAGCCTAGTTAAGGGCACTTCCACAATAGACATTGGCTTTGATTTATGGTGATAATACCATAAATCAAATTAATTAGTTCTTTTCCCCATGGTTATTGGACCATGGGGAAAAGCAACTAATTACTTTCTATTTTCAGTGAAAAGCTGTTGTTAAAGCTGTTCACCTGACAAGAGACAAGTTTCCTTCCCCTTTCAGCCTTAACAAGATCCAGTCTCCTCAAAATATTTAATCTGTCTGTATGAATATTAAAAAAATCATAATCAAGTCAAGTGACATTTATTTTTTACAAAAAATTTAAATACATGTGATGATCACTTTTATAGCTCTTCTTTGCTCTGACAAATGGTGATTTTATTGAATTTTTCTCTATGCTTTTTGAAGTCTATTTTTTAAAATAGGATATGTACAAATTTTGGTGTCATTCTGCTTTATTAGTTACAGCTACAGAGTTATAAGTAAGGAAACTTTTTAATTATAACCATCTTGAATATAGCAAAATCTTTGAAATTAAATCATTTATTATATAGTATTGTCTATTAAGAATTCACTATATTAAGAATCCACTGTGAATTTAAAAATAGATTAAGGAGAAAGGGAAATGATAAAGAAATAAAAAGTATTATGAATTATTGAAATTTTCTTTTATAGAAAAATATTTTAATCAATATAGCAGATAGAAATACATTACATATATATTCTGTTTGAGAAAAATTTATGAATTTTATTGTTAGTCAATTTAAACAAATAGCTACAGTGCATTAAAAATGCAGATAAAAATGGTTCCAAATTCTGAAGTAGTTTTGCTGATGTTTGCCAAAAGTCTATTAAATGGAATGTTTTTTAAAACATTTTAAGTTCTTTTTTAATATAAGATGTGTTAAGATGATGATATCATTTTATTTAAACTTATACATTATAATGTAGTGTATAGTACATTGAATAATTTATATTCATTGACTCATTGTTCCAACCTTTTCACACACGTATTCATAAATAAAAAAGTTTTTAAGTTTTTCTTATATGACAAATGTTGTTAGAGCTGAAGTCTGTTAAATCAAGGGTTTAACTCTGCAAATATTTGTCTGTAATCTTGATTTTCTTTTCTTTACATATGAAGCCCTCGGGGATGTGTAATACAGAAACATGTTTGAGGTAATTGAATTTAAATGTTTGAAAAAAAAATCCTAAAATGAATGATGAGATGACAGCTACATCTACAGGCAATATTTGGAAAGTAAAAATATTAACACACACTTATTCATACGATTTTAGAATTTTTTTCAAACATTCAAACTCAATTACCTCAGAAATATTATTCTGAGAGTTAGCACTATATGTCTCCAAAGACTTCATATAATCCATCTAATCTGAACTTTCACTAATTACAGATTAGGAGGATTACAGTCAAAAATAAAATGTTTTATAACTCCCAAATGTAAAGCTTTAAATTTGTATATCTTTAATGTACTGTACTGAGTATTATATATAAAAAAAAAAATTTATTCTTTGTCAAGTTTTTAACTACTCAATCAATAACAATATAATAACAACTTCATGTTTTGAAATCAAAATGTTTACCATTATATTATACTGTATTATTTAAATATCAAATATAGAAACTGTAAATATCAAATTAAACTAATAATTTAATTACTTTTAACTTTAGGAAGTAGTACATGAATTAGATATGTCATATGGTATGCTTGGAAGTATATTTAGAAGCGGTAAGTTTTTATTTATTATTATAGCTGAATTATTATGGATTTTCCTTACACTAAAATATAATTATTTATTTAGGTTCAAGGCAGACCTTTTTTGCAAATCAAATTTGTCACTATGCTGATATTTACTCAAGTAGTTTCATGAATTTGATATATTATCCTTTTAGTTACATGTTCAGGGCACCTCCTATGTTGGTATGTATAATAGAAATTAATCACATTTATTGTTACTAATAGTGGCAGCTCCTGGCTATCTACTGTAATATGAGGGTGGTGTTGCTGGAATGCAACTATCCTAATAGAATTGTTTTGATTTCATGTTCAAAACATGAATTATTATGTTATTAATCATGATAAATTATATAAATTATTATATATGTAATAAAAGTCTAGACATTTTTTTTGTGAGTTTAATTTTTCTTTGAGATTCTGCGGTGTTTATCCTGAGCTGCTGCTAGTTACTAAAAAGTTATTCTATATTTTTACATTAGTATATGTTTACTTAATTTGGCATTAAAATCAGATTACGCTTTATACGATGTAGATGCCACATGAATCGACTGTAACTCATCAAGGAGCCAGTCTCACAAATGGTGAAGTGGAGGAACTGGAGGCTGAGCAAGTGGTACAATCCATCCAGAGACGCTCTAAAACAGAATGCGTGGAGAGTTTGGTGCCACATCTTTACGCAGAACCTCCCGAAGTCATCACTCATCACCATGACACAGATGAAGAAGAGGAATCCGACAAATCTGCAGAACAGTAGATGATGTGCAAAATTTAATTTATATACAAAGCATTCTCATTAAAAGGGGACTTAAAAGAATGCAAAAAGGGATATCATATTTTGACCAAATGTAAAAAAAAAACCTCTGCACAAAACAACAAACTTTATAGATGTATAAAAAAAAAAAAAACAAAGGAGATACCTTGTCTCAAATCAAGGCATTTACTAAAAACTTCTTTAATAATATCACTTATTTAAGATTTATAAAAATTCACTTTTTGGTAGTATTTAATATATTGATTAAAAAAAAAAGAGGCCAGTACCTTTTTAATGTCTCCAGCTATAGAGTAGATAAGTATTATTTCTGTGCACTTTTCATGTTTTAATTGCTATTTATACTACTTTTGACAGATGTTAATACTTAATAAAAGTTCTATGTGATGCATGTGTGCAGTGTGAAAATTTAATTAAAAATTTACATTATATATAAAAACATCAATGTTAAAATATTTTATTAATTATTATTTGAATTTTTACAATTTTGTTTTCAATTTGCATTGATTTCTAAGTCTGTCAAGCTTACACATCCATCACCATTCCATGACAGTTCAATTCTCTAACCAAAGCTGAAAGAAAAATTTACTTATTATAAATTCTACCTTTAATCTTTGAAGTTTCTACAAACTATTGTGTAAGTTAAAAGGAAGTTCATTTACCAAAGAGTGTAGGTTACATTATTCATTATATACAACAAGGAAGGAGGGATAAAAAGTGGCTCAAAAACTATACATATAATTAATGGACAATTCCCTATTTAAAATTACAAATTTAATTTTTAAATATGCTCACCTTAACTTTCATCGTCTTCCCCTTTTGTGATGACTTTTGTAAACTTAATAATATCGATATAACCATCATAATCGATAGGAGCTTCCCGAAGTACTTCGTCCGCCTTAAAATAATTTTAAAATTACATTTAATAGTAATTATAATTTTATAAAAGAAAAGAACTTACTTCGCTCTCGTTAAATATCTCTCCCCATGACATTAATGCGTGTCTTAAACTACGAAAAAATGTTAAAAGAAAATAAATTTTAGGCGATAACAATCGATGACAAGTAATTAGGATACATTCTTACATGGATTCTTTAATTTTTCCGATTTCTTCTTGATCCCATTTTCTAAAGGCATTAACAATTATATGTTCATCGTCGGTTCCTGAAAGTTTGTTTGTTGTTTTTTTTAAATTAAAGCCAATTAGGTTCTACTAATAGATTATAATATAATCAAACCTCGATATAGCACCACCCTTATAGAGAGGTAATGAATACTCACAATGGGATCTTCCTCTTAAATTTTACAGAATGCTTCAATCTCTTTAAATATGGCCCTGAACCAATTTCAATATCGAAGTTTGACTTATAATTTTTAAGATTTGCAACAATTACCTGCTATTCTTTCTCCAAATATAGTTAAAAACATGGTAAAATTAATGGGTCCTGGCGCTTCTTCTACCATCGAAATTAGATCGCTGTCTTCTACTTGTTTCCCTAATTAAAATCATATAAAATTAGCTGATAATTTCTAGTTATTCTTTAAATAAATAAATATATATATTTTTTCTGTTTATTCCGTAAAAGTTAATTAATCATAAAGATATTTCTACTTCTTTAAATAAGAAAAAAAAAAATTCACATATGTAACTGTTAAGTCCAAAATTTAAACCTTGGTGTATATTCTAACTTTTCTCGTAACTAAAAATAGTCGTTAATACGAATTTTTAACAAATTTTCTGTTAAAGAAAATGCCATNGAAGGCCTAAAAATATATATTAAATAAGTTTAAAATTATAATAAAAGTTTTTATTTAAATTTAATTATTCTTACTTATTGTATATATCTATAAATTCGTTCCTTTTGCATAAAAATGTGCTTTATTCTTATTAATGTGGAGAGCAACGTTCTACATTATATGTAAATATAGAACGTTATATTAGCACTTCTATACAAGGTACTGTACTATACATACATCCTTCTACAGAAGTGCTAATTATTATAATATATTACTTGCATAAATATTTACAATAGTTTGTGCATAAATCAATCCTCCTCTAAACTACAGGCAATTTTTCTTTTTGAGATGCATGCAAAATAATCTCCAAACAACGGCCATTTTTTATGTTCAAGGATTTGACTGTATTTATGTATTTATGAGAAAAATACATTTGTATTCTGTAATTTAGTTAATTTCTCCCATAAAATGCCAATTTTAAGTCTCTTACCTCTTTAAACTCTTGTACTTTATTTTGAGTAAACATGGCGAATATATTGGATGTGGTTCTCTGTGCTCTTCTTTTAGTAGAAGTCGACTTATAAACGGAAGATTGAGGACTAGTTTCGGTCGGTGCTGGTTCTGGTGCGGGTGCGGGTGCTGGTTCCTCCGCAGGTGGTGCAGGTTCTGCCGGAGCAGGAGCGGGTTCTGCAGCTGGTGGAGGAGCTTCCTCTTGTTTCTTCTTACTCTTCTTCTTCTTTTCCTTCTTTTCTTCGTCACCCTTGAATTATAATAAAAACAATATTAAATTAAAATACAGTATAAATGACGTTACGAATTCAATAGGACCATCTCCCGATCGATTCGAAAATCATCTAGAACATTAATAAAACATTAATCAAGATCAATCTTTTTTGCAAATACAGCCCGGCACACGTATTTGTAAAATCTAAGTGACTCGTACAACATGGAATTCATATAAAACGGAATAATCAGCAGTGTGACTCGTACAACATGGAATTCATATAAAACGGAATAATCAACAGTGTGACTCGTACAACATGGAATTCATATAAAACGGAATAATCAACAGTGTTATAGGGATTCGAATGTACCGTCATATCTCGATTTAGCGCAAGTATTGTTCGCCTTTGAAACTGTTACTAAATCGAATTTAGCTCTATATCGAAGTTTGACTGTGCTTATCAGAAAGACGATTTTTATTCAATTTCTAGAGATCCACAGTAAAAGACAGGGGAAAAAATGACTTTTTAATGGATGATAATTATGAATGGAAGAAGGAAAAAAAAGGGAGGAGGATCTTGCCAATTTTCAAAGCTCAAAAGCGAAATCGCCTCCATCCCTTTCACAGTACATTAACTTGTCTTTTAGGGTGACGAATATGTTCGATCTAATCCAAAAACGGCATCTTTGTAAGATAATATAGGAAGATGATGAAGCTATATTTACATCCCGCTGCCGACATGTTCTTTATGATTGATGCATTCTAGACATTTGCCAAAATATAGCTAGAAACCCTCCCCCCCAATAATCGCAAGCAATTCTCCTTTAAAAATTGTAATTCTTAATATTTTAAACGTTTTAATTAATAAATAACCTGATATATTATACTGTTTTAAAAATATTATACTGTTTTATTTAGATTACATTCTTCATAATTGTACTTTGAAATTTAATTATTTGAAATTAAATTATTTTATATTGTAATTATAACTTTAAGCGCTGTTAAAAAGTATATTTAAGTAAATAATTTTAAAGCAAAATATTTAATTAAAAACGTTTTTCAATTAAATAAGGAAACGTGAAAATATAGAGAAATAAAATTCAACTCACCATGGCTTCTTGTCACCGCAAGCTTGACTGACAGGAGAGCTCAGGTAAAAGTGGAATAATTAACTTTGATGGGGTGGATGACGTCAATTTCAGCGACCAGTCGTATCTTAGAAAACTAATTTAGGATACTTTTACTTTGCCAGAGAATAAATGCGGCATTTTTGGAGCCGAAACCCGATTAAATGTGGAACACAACTATATAAGGTCCATTAAGCGATTTTTACAAGGAATTTTGAATATTTTGACCGAGCCAAACAGTACGAAAACTTCGAAATTCTACTTTTTAATACTATTTCTATTAACCTTCTTCGTCTCAAATGTATTATTTAAAGTCAGCAAAAAGATAAAGAAGAAGAAAAAAAAGACCGCGATCGCGAATTTGATAAAGAATTGGTTACATTTTAATGAAATTTTTCTAAAGATTTTTGATTTTTTGCCAAATATTTTGCAGTTTTTTTTTTTAAAAAAAATATCTTTCTTTTGATAGATTTAACGAATAAAAGATCATTTTTTAACAAATGCTAATTGTTCTTAGAAGATAAACGCTCAAACATCCTCCCCCTTCGTATATTTTTTTTTAACTTACAAGGCAATTAAAATATATTTTTTATTAGAATAAATAAGAAGAGAGGGGAGAAAGAAAATGTATAAAATTAGATTCTGATAAACTAATTTTTTAATATTTATTCTTCTAAGCTTCATATAATAATTGCAAATTTAATAATTAACGAATAATCAAGAATGAAATAGTTAAAATTCAATATTTTCGATGCGCTTTAAATTTAAATTCAGGGCCTAAGTGACGTAAAATGAGGCCCCATTTCTATTTGTAACTATGAAAGTATGTGAATAAAATCAAGTAAACTGATTTCTTTTACCATTAACTCTATTATTAATTAAAATAAAAATTATTTTTTTTATCCTATGATTCCTTCATATAAGAACAAAATGGAGCTTCCAAATGATAATGGATCCACGAAAATCTTTAAATTTACTAGAAAAATTATATAAAAATACATAAATTATTTTCTTAAATATGTTAAAATAGTAGCAAAATTATCCAAAAAAAAAAAAAAAGTTATTTTTGAAGCTAATATTTAACAATTTGATTTGATACTCTTTTAGTAGTATTTTTTTTTGGGGGTGAGAACTAAATTTAATTTCTTTCTAACTGAGAATATTTTGTTATTGTAGATGTTGGCTACACTAATTTAACGTTTTTTTCCCAACGTTTATCGTCCGTAGAGCGAATAAAGAAATCTTTTATACAAATTAGTCATTTGGCCAAAATGTTTTTCATCCGTAAAAGTTAATTAATCATAAAGATATTTCTACTTCTTTAAATAAGAAAAAAAAAATTCACATATGTAACTGTTAAGCCCAAAATTTAAACCTTGGTGTATATTCTAACTTTTCTCGTAACTAAAAATAGTCGTTAATACGAATTTTTAACAAATTTTCTGTTAAAGAAAATGCCATTTTGTAAAGGAAAGATGAAAAAGTTAAAGTTGAAAGAGCGACGTTTAAGAGAAACGAAGCGTAACAACCCCCGAAACTTGTGTTTTAAAACGGTGCAAATGGGAGTTTATTCCTTTTCGAAAAGGTTCAATTTAAAAAAAATCGATTTAAAGCTTGAAAAAAATCAATTATTTTGTCATAAGCTCCCCTACACACCGCATGATATCATGTTTTTTATATAAAAAAAAAACCTAAGTCGTGGATGAGTCAAATGTCCATTAACTAAGCATCCCTCTACACAGCATTGTTTAAATATAAAAAAAAAAAATAATTAATTTTTTTTTTTCAAAATTTAAATCTATTTTCTCTTACTCGAACCTATTAAAAATGAATAAACTGAAGAGAAATTATCTTCATCACAAGAATTAAAATGAACAATAATAATGACGATCTTCTATTGTTTCTCTTAAAACGAATGGCAGAGGTAAGGAAATGTTTCTATTTATCCTACAGAAAAAAAAAAATGTCTAAATGATGATGATGATTTTCAAATTCATATCTAGATTTTGGCAAAATATTAATACATTTTTGGGAAGATAATTTGGATAAAGAACAAAGAAAACATTCTCCAAAATTCCAATCTCACTTCCGTGAGTTAATAGCTCTTAGATTAAGAATAATTGTTGTTGTTCATAAAAAAAAATACCTTTTAATAGTTATTGGGAGGGGATTATAGTGACGTTTCTTTTCTATTTTTATCTTTAAAGTTTCTAAGATTGCATTTTTGGCTCTAGATCGCTGCGATTTAGATAAACACGAAAGCTTTTAGTGCAATATTTTCGAAAAATGCACCATCGAAACTTTAAGTTATGCTCGAAAAAGTTACTTAAAATATTAGTTTACTGTATATTAGATTATTGAATATAACTATTTTAGTATTTTATTATTGAATATTTTTTTTTTTAAATAAAATAAAAACAAATAATATCTACAGTCTTATTAGATTTGCAAATTAAAAAGGCGAACAATGATCTCAACTGACGATTACATCTTAGAGAATTTAAAAGGTAAAATACATACTTAATATCTTAAAATTATTATTTATAATTTAATTGCGTACTTAAAAATGAATGATTTATACTTATTTAGCCGATAAAGGAGCAAAACTTCTATGCGAAGCATTATTAATTTGGGATGCCGAAGCTCGACAAATTGTAGTGGATGCCATTAATGCTGCCATTCAGGAAGCCCTCGAAGGAATCAAAGTTGCTATTCGAGAAGCTTTAAAAAATGCTTTCGATGAAAATAATAAACAAATTAATAACGTTACCAAAAGGCACGATTACCAATTGAAGGTTTGTAATTTTGATAAATCTTTCCAATAGTTTTTAATAACAAAGCATTCATGCGTATTGTGCCCAATTCAGCCAGTATGATTGAAGAATAGGGAACAATATTCCTCTCCAAACTCATTACCCATGATAAATTTTAAAGTTCTGAATAGGGTACCTCATCTGGAGGTACGTTGCATAAACTTTCAAATCTTTTATTAAAAAAAGAATTAATTTTAGGAAAATTTGAAAAGTGCCGAAGATCGTATTCGAAGAGAATTAGAAAGAGAAATAGAAGAAGAAAAGCAAAATTCTGAAGAAAGAGTTAAAGAAGCTGTTCAAGATGGATTGGAACAATTCAAAGAACATCTTAAAATGGCCATCGAAGAAGCTGAAGCACAAGAAAAGAAGAATTCCAAAGACAAATGCAAAAGACTTAAACAGTAAGAAATAAGTATATCAAGGAAATAAGATCGGTTATGAACATATTAATTAATATTTTACAATATTTAAACAGTGAATATGACGAGAAATTAAGAGAAGCAAAACGAATTGCAATAGAAGATAAAGAGAAGTGTTTGATAGAAACTGAAAAGAAAATGTTAGACTATAAACAAAAGATAATAGAAGAAATAAAAATGGAAGGAATTGCAACAAGAAAAGAAAATTTGAAATTAGATAAAGAAAAGTTCGAAGAAATATTAGAAAATCTAAAAATTAAATTGAGACAATACGAAGAGGAAGAAGAAAAATTACAGCAGCAATTAATGGATATTTGTAAGAGCAAATCCCAAGCAGAGGAACAATTGTCGAATTTGAAACAACTTCTAAAACAATTTATCGAATTGGGAAGTAAAACTGAAGACACCACTTCTTTACGTTTTCGAAAATATTAATATACAATTTCTCTTGCTTATGAATTAAATTTTCTTCTTACTTATCCATTCTAACAGCGATTAAAAATGGCACTTTTATTACTTTCGACAAGTATTTATTAAAATTTTAAAACATTTAAATCTATTCTTGTCTCATTTTCTATTATAACAAATAATAAATATATATATTTTTTCTGTTTATTGTTTTCATTAGTATATCTTTTATAACTTACGACAATGGATGTAGTTAGTTCTACATTCGGACCCTAATCTAATCCCTATCAGTCCCATTACAGACAACTCTTTCTAAGATTTGGTCTTTTTTTTCTGTAAGAAAATAAGTAATAAACCCCATTAAATCTCTTATTTCATCAGTCGATTGTTCTCATATATATATATATAGGAACCAATAAGAAAAACACTTATAGAATAATTTTTCATTTTTTCAAGATTACAAATTTATTAATAATTATAAAAATTTATTTGAGAATATTAAGAAATTATCATTACGTTTCTTTAACATAAAAATTATATATCTTGCTACGAGATTCAAATAATTTTTGTTAAAAAAATACAATTTCTTCTTCAAAAATTTCAATTTTGACCAGTTGTACGAGTTCTTTGTAGATATTTAGAATATTCTTTAATTGTCTTCTTCGTATTGGCTCTATGGCATTTCTCTGATAATCTCAGCTCGTATTCTCTAACGTTAGAAGAAAAATATAAATTAGAAATTTGTTAAAAAATCAAAATTGAAGAAAGAAAGAAAGAAAGAAAACCTTTGCAAGTCCATCAGTCGCATTTCTACATTTTTCAACTCGTTTAACCAATCGGTATCGACAGTCTTGATTAGTTTATTACGAAGGAAATGATGTACTTCCTTCAGTGTAAATTTAATTCTTTCTTCTGTTTTTCGAAATTCAGCCAATATCTTATCTTCTATTTCTTCTACCAATATTCCGGTTGCAGCGGCTACAGCCTTCTCCTACAAAAATTTAAGATCGTTACTTCAACCCGATTGTATCCATAGTATTGAAGACGAACACGACCAAAAACTTCATCCATTTGTTCCCATTCCTCACAGTATTGGGTTGTTTAGAGTAAAATCTGTGTTACAATTACGAAATTATTTATTTTATTGCTATCGATAATACATCTTAACATCGAGACTTTGTTCTATAACACTAAGAAAATCATATTAAGACCATTTAAAAGTAAATTTCAATGACTTCAATTCTTAAATATATGGATACAAGAGATATTAGGGGAACGATGGACTTCCTCTATACGTTACGTGAAACCATATAAGAATTATATTTTTAGATATTACCTGAGCCATTTTGACTGATGGAAATCTTTAGCTGCAATATTTGAGACTAATTTCCCATTATAATAATAACAATAATAGCAATTAAAATAACATTATTACATATAAAAAATGAAGATTTTTGTTTCTTCGTTTGGCATTAAATTTTACGAAAAAAAAATCAATAGTTATTATTTATTTATTCAATATTATTTTTATAGAGATAAGTATCAATAGTCATAAATGGTAGGGCTTGAAGAACATTATGTTATACAGCTTGTAGATCAAAATTAATTAGTTTTAAGTGACACATTCACTAAACAGATAAGTTCATGATTAGGTTTCAATGATGCTATTCTCTATAAACAAAGAAAAATAAGAGAAAGCAGACTGAAAATATAATACTATGTATATATTAATGTTAGTGTGTGTATACAGAATTTTTTGTCAATCTTATATTAAATTACTCAATCAAGATGATAAAATTGTTATTTTTTGTTAGAAACTTTAGGGTTTTCTTATACTAGTTAATAATGAAATTAATACACTACAATCAAACCTCTGTATTTCAGATAGCTTCTTTGTAAAGTATTTTTTATTTTATAGATAAAGATTCAGTCAGTATTGAAGTGAAAAATTAAAACATCTTAAAACACATGCCTTAATTCGTTTTGCATAGTAAATATATATGTTATTTTTACAATCTTTACATCCACATTTATAACAATCAATAGCACATTACTTCTAGAGTCGCCAATGAGTTTCAATTGATTTACTGTTTCTACTGTTACTGCCACGCAATAAATACATCTCACCCTTCGTCAGACTCTGCATTAAGATTTTTATACTCCTGTTCCGAGTATAAAAAACTTAGTAGTACAGATTTGTATACATATATAATTATTACCAATAGCTATATTTTTAAAGCATATACTGTAGAAAGCATCAATTTCTACAGTATATGCTTATCCAATTGTCTATTCTTGAAATTATGATTTACTCAAGACTCCAAAAATTTTTTCCTGCCAATACATAAGAATTTAGCAGTTTATCAATAATATATAATATACCTGAAAACTTCTGTATTATTATTTGAGCCATGTTTTTAAATCTTCTATCCTCTTTACAACTATACAATTACTCCACTTAAGATAATGATTTTCCATTCAATGTCCAGAATCCTATAAAAATTCAGAAAAAGATTTATACATTTCTGTCTGTCTATATTTGGTATCTGTCAAAATACAGAGAATATTTTATAAGAATATATTTTAATTTTTATATTAAATACAAACAGAAGTAACTTCTTAATCATATTAACTTCATAAACGATTCTAGAATTCTGTAATTAAAAGATCCAATTAATTTTATGATGATGATGATGATGATGATAAAATTTATGTTGAAGTTCACATAATTATTGAAAACATTTTTAACATGTTTTGCCAAAAAATCTAGTTGCAGCTGTAAATTTACACTCCAAAATGATGCTATAAGTGGTAGATGAATCAGTCAACATAAATACATGAAGGTAATAAATTCTTATCATTTTTCTCATTTTCTGTTAAAATGTAGCAAAATTTTGGAATAGAATGTATATAAATATTTATTCTAAAAGTTTTCAATTAATGTTTCTTTAAAATACTGTATTAGGAATTGATATGAATTAAATTTTGTTATATTAATCATATTATTTTTATCTATAAGATCACTTTTCTCTTTACTGAAACTTATAGTTTTTGACATTTTTCCAAGTTTTATTTTTATCAAATTTATAAAAAAAAAAAAAATATTTGCTTTAACTTCAAAAAAATGAGGAAGTGAAAATAAATAATTTGATATGAAATACAAGACACTTTGAAACTTGAAGTTCTATATTATGAAATTTTCTAATTTAAGAACATAAAATCATTAAAATAAATCACTGTAAACTACATTAAATACACATTTACTGAATGGGTTTGATGATGATTCTTCATTTATTAATTTTTCTATATTTTATTGTTAAAAAATAATACAAAAATAAATTTTAATTAATTTGCATACAGAAATCATTGTTTTTCTTCTTATAAACTTCTAAGGGAAATTATTGCGTAGACACGAATCATTTCTATCTGATAGTTTGTATTAAATTACACACATTATAGTAAATAAAATATATTAATACATAAAGTGCCATCAGTTTATATGATGATAATTGCAAATGTAAAATATTTGTATTCTTAAATATTCTGATTTAAAAGAAAATTGTGTAAAATTCATCAACTGAGTTTAAAAGATACACTTATTTTTCTTTAAAATTTATTTAGAAATATATCCTAAACAATCTAAATCAATATTTATATGTATATAAACCAAAATTACAATTTTAAATGATTACAATATATGCTTTCTAACAGGGCAGTAGGAAGGTTTCTATGGTTGTTCGATTTATCATTTTTAATTTTCAAATTTTAATAATTATATGCATTTTTATGCTAATGTATCATTATGTTATCTATAATGATTACAATCAAAAGACTATATTAAAGATTAAAGTACTTTCATTCTTACATATATTTCATTTTAATTTCCAAGTTTTTAAAGAGAAATTACATAAATTGGCACAATCATCATTAGTATCAGTTACTATTATAAATACAGTAAATATTTGGACTAAACAATTTCACAATTACGAAAGAAGTCACAAGGGGGTTCTTCAATAACGAGGTGCATGTATGTATCTGATCGTTCGAATCGTCACTTATAATCCAATACGACACTGACCGAATCGAGTGGGTGCTATAACAAAAGTCATAAATTTATCTTTGCATGGAAAGAACGCCACATCCACCATAAGTTAGAGCTACTCTTACAATTTTAAAAATATTTTTCTGTAATGATGATGTGATAAATACAAGATGTGTCTAGATGAAACAATAAAGGCACAAAATTCGAACACTTTCTTTAAAATTCATTCATGTTGGCTCCAAGAAAGGTTTCTTTGAATGGAACGAATCATCGATGTCAGTCGAAGCTTTTCTCTTTCCATTGTACTCAAAATTTTCGACTATCACCACTTCATCCATATCTAAAAAGAATGAACAGAGAGTGTTTATAATTAATCAATATAGCTTTGTAAACAAGAAATACACAAACTGCAAAAAAATCATAATTTCTTACCATAATTCATAACAATATTTACACAAATTTTCATTCATTTGTAAATAATTAAAAGAATATATTTACTGTGAGAGAAGCAATTGTGAGTATATTTGTAAGAGAATTAGAGTTATGTTTTAAGAATAAATTTTTAGAATATTGAAGCACTTTTCAAAACAAAAATTTTAATAAATAAACAAAGAGAAGTAATGTAAAAATTCTTTGTAGTTCAATTATTTTTCCATATGGTAAAAAATTTCACTCCTGCTTTTATAAACTAATTAGTTTCTGAAAAACTATTGTTAAATAAGGCTATCATATTTCCCAAAACATCAGTATCATAAATTTAAGGAAAAATGGTTATCATCAGCGGCATGACATGCTGTCCATGGAAGCTGTGGAAACACCTCTTCCCATGTATTTTAGAAAATACAAAGGAAGCAACTTTGAATTACTTAAAATTAATATTTTATTATAACCATATTATGTATCTTATTACAAATTTCTATACATGTGAAAAACAATGATAAGATTGCTATTGTATATTTGAATGTAAATTTGTATATTTATATTTCCAATGGAAGCACTGTATTGCCGAATAGGGGACAGTTTCCACAGTGAAAATATTTGAATGGTGTAAAGCAGCCAGATTACATGCATTTGCACATGCACTTTACAGAGCATCAACCTCTGGCGGTTCAGCTAGTGGATGCTACACACCAAAAAGTCATAACGCTTCCAATGATTCCATCCATTAGTCACTCATAGGGAGCTATTTGACTAAATGCATTGTTTTAAGATTTAAAAAATAGAGAATATTTTATGTTATTTTTATGTACGTTTCTTTANCAGATTTCAATGTTAAACTAGTAATTTTCAGACAATCTAGAATTTTTATCACTTTTAGATGTTAATAATTTTAAATATTATGAAAAACAATTTCCCAAAGAGTTTTAATTCTTTACATAAATCAAAAAATTCTTCATAAAATTTACATAAATTATTTAATGAATTGCAATATTTATATTTGCGTCCAGACTATATCACTCTTAGACATAAAAAAATATTATAATTAATGATGATGTGAACAAAGATGTACTAAAAGAATTATATGATTTAATATCATTAATTTTTACGGTGCCATGTACCAGTGCTTCTGTTGAGCATCGTTTTTCAACCATGAAGTGAATTGATAAATTGGCAAGGAACACTCAATCAAAGGAAAGATTGTCATCATTAGCATTGCTTTCAATAGAAAAAGAGCTTTTAAATACTTTGATGGAATCAAAAACAAGCGACTTTTATAATAGAGTAATTAACGACTCTGTGGAAAAAATTGCCGAATAGAGTTAGTTTATAGAAAATATAAAAACAAACAAGTTTTTCTATCATTGTTTATATCATGTCAATTTGTATTATGTATGTATTATTTGTATTTTAAAATTAAAATAAATAAATAGTTTATTTCTGTCATTTCCAGTATTCCAATAGTTTATTTCTGTCATTCATGTTTAAAATTTTTATGCAGATGTGAGGTTCTGGACAGGTCCAAACCATCATGAAAGATGCGGAAAAAAGCTAATTTAAAAAAAAATTTGTTAGTTTAAAAAAGATAGAAAAAAATCATTTGTAGTTGGACACCCATTTCTTTATATCAAACTGCAACGCAGAAACCATAAATTGTGGAAGAAAGTCATCCTATGATCAGTGGAAGATCAAATTCATCTTCAATTTTGACCTTTCTAGCACTCCAGGTAGAAGTCTTGTTACACTTAGTAACGAGGGACCAGCCACTCGAAAAGTGTGATTGAGGGAGAATGATCAATCAAAATGGATAAACAGAAGAACAGAGATTGATATAATCCCCGACAATCAAGGACACCTCACACTTGGTTAGTTAACATTCCAAATAACCAAAATGCAGTGTATCAATGCACAAAAAAAGAGCAGTTTCTTGTCTATTGTGCCAACCTGTAACCCATGACACTTTGGACTTACACAGTGTTGCTGATGCCAACAGACAAAGTCTCTCCATCTGTCTTTCGGACTTGTCAACACCACTGCCCCGGGGCACCTTCGATCAACAAAGGACCTCAGCGACACCCAGGACCAGTGCCGTGACTAGGCAGGTGCAACAGGTGCACCCGCACAGGGCCCACTTGGAAGAGGAGCCCAAAATGCATGTATTTGTTTTATTACTTTTCCCAAACCTAATTAATTAAGGGACATAAATGCAAATTCCTGCACAGGGCACAGGAAAGTTACAGCACTGCCCAGGACATCTGAACAGCTGATTGTCCTAAAGCAAACTATTTTGTAGATAGTGTAAATTTATTTTATGTTAAAATAAACAATTTTTGTTAGATACTTGTCATCTTTGTCTCCTCTGCCATCAACCCACATATGAATGGACTCTATCTCATATTACAACTCTAAGTTGGAGTCTCTGCTCCACCAAGTGGCACTACAGAAGTACAAAGAGACTATTTTAATCATCAATTGCAAACACTGAGTAATCACTGTGGTGTATGAACTATAAGACTGGACTGAGATAAATGCTTGAGCTCTGGCAGCACAACCTGATGGGGACTAGCCTTTCTTGCTCCAAGCTTGATCCTCATACTTTGTAATACAGTTTTGGTGCAGTAACCTTGCATCTTGAGTCCTCTACCAAAAAAGAGGGGGTATCCCATGCATAGTCATTCAAGACGATGGGACTGCTAGTCTCGACACGTCCAAACAGCTGTTCATCTACGCAGGATGCAGCCTAATACAAACTGTAGAATCCTCTTTAAGATGAGGGTCCAGCCCAGTGATATACAATTTTTTTCTTTCTTTTCTGATATACAATTTAGATGAATGGATTCTAGACCATCACTGATGCACAATTAACTGATTGCTCTTGGAAGTTGGCTTCTTACAGAAACACAGCTTTCCTATCATCAAATGTCATGGCACACCACTGATATTCCAGGAAAAGTAGTTTGAACTACATAATACAACAACAAGATAGTCATAAATAAATAAATGTAATGCTTAAATATGCATTTCATACAATAATGAGAGAAAATTCATGTCATAAAAATAGGATTGTAAAGCATGTTATTGTAAAGAAGGGATTTATTCTATTTCACCAAATATTTTATGTAAAATCTAAACCAAAAGATTAATAGGTGTTAATAAATACAAATTATTACTTATATTTCCAATTTTTGTTATCTTGAGAATAATTTAAGTTATTAATAAATAAATTGTTCTGTCATAAGAAAATTATATTACTTATTATAATGTAATAAAATAGAGTTACACAAGAGAAGTTGTTTGAAAGCTTCTCTTGTGTAACTATTTTATTACATTATCAATTCATAATATTAACTACACAGTCAAAGCATTGGCACAAAAGAGATCTTTCCAGCATTTCACAATAATACATTGTATGTAGCCCTTAGTGCATTAATTTCATTACAATAGTTACAGGAAAATAAATAAATTCATTCCAGGAGAATCATGCCGCGGCTTGCTCTTCCCATCGTGTCATTCATGGGGTAGAGGTTAGTGGCTTGGCCTATCGAGCGAAGGTCGCTGGTTCAACCCTCATTGATGCAAGTTTTTTTTGTGGGTACGTTCTCCCGGTCTGCGAACTTATGTAAATACCAATCAATTACCATGTTTCTACCATGTCTCTGTAGATATAACAGCCATCTCTCAGGCTGAGGGTGCTTCTTGTTCTTCTACTGCAAGCTGCAGGAGTTGTACATTGTCAGAGTTAATAAATACCTTGGTGTTCCTAACGACTGATTGCCGTTTGTTCCCGCAACAGTATGTAGCCCTTAGTGCATTAATTTCATTACAATAGTTACAGGAAAATAAATAAATTCATTCCAGGAGAATCATGTAAATTGTGCAGAAGTTCCATAGCAATACATACATTTTCCAAACATAAAACACAAAATGCAAAGTAAAATGTAATCTTGACAGATTGTATGGTAATATAAAATACTGATGTCCTTAAAAAACCAACATATAATCTGCTAATTGGTAGAGCTCTGCAATAATGTCTTGTACTTACAAATACTACTGTGAAATTATTATATTATGGGAAAATGAGACAAAATGCACAAGGAATAAGAACACTGATTCCACAAGTGTTTTCCAGCTGTACCAAGACCAAGATGTTTTCAACATGTACTACAGCAAAATAAAGCTAAATGCTTATAGACAATTTCATGGTGAACTCAGGATATATTCTTCCAATTAGAAAGTTCAGACTATGTACGAAAAATTTTTTTAATTTTTGAGTCTATCTAACAATCCATTAACACAACCACAGAAGTACCCGTGTTACGGGTACTTCTGTGGTTGTGTTAATGGATTGTTAGATAGACTCAAAAATTAAAAAAATTTTTCGTACATAGTCTGAACTTTCTAATTGAAAGCTAAATGCTTTTTGTATTAGTTTATGTAATGTAATTAGACCAATAATTGGTTTTTATCCTTTACTGTCAGATATTCTTTGTATGTGTGAGACATCAATCCTTCATGTGGGAAAGAAGTCATGAGAGATGTAAATAGCATCTGTTTACTGTCAACAATGGTGACTTGATATCCACCCATGGGATCTATTCCTGTGATAAAACAAACTGACTATCATTTGTGTGACCTGGACGTTTTCAGGTGATTGGAAGAATATGGACTGTCTGTCTGATAACTGCATATGCAGGAGTCAAAAAGTTCATTTTGAGTATGCAACAAACAGTTCAAGGACATTTGAAAATGTGTAAAGGAGAATTCAGGTATTTTTTTGTGTGTTAAAGTTAGCGTGAGACACTATTAGTGAAGGAATAAGAGAGTTCAGGGTTCTTCAAAGATGTGCAACAGAGAAGTTTGGAGATTGAGAGAACAGAGTATGTGGATTATTTTCTGCTATGGGAAGAACAGAATGCAAATTATTTACCAATGCAAATAGAGAAGGACTAGAAAGAAGACTTAGACAAACAACAGGAAAAAGACAAACTGATGAATGACTCATCTACCTGAAAATAACTAAGAAATTAATAATGTAAACCTTGTTCTCTCTACAACATAGTAATGTATGTAAAGATTCTTTTTTTAATAACTTTCAAAAAAGTTTCCTCGTTGATCTGTTGAATAGTGTTCCATTCAGATCTACACATTAGCATAATACCTTTCAAAAACAAACACCAAAAAAATTAATGAAAGACTCAACTCCAATTAACCATTCAGGCCAAAGGCCATAGCAAGACAAATGACATTTAAACATGTAGTTGTAAGAAATCTTAAACATTATGCTAAATCCTCTTAAAATGTTCCCTTCCATTATCCTCATGTTAAAGATAGCGAGAAAATGTATGTACTGTCTTGGAACTATCACACAATTTATACATGCTCCTTTTTTTTTTGGATGAATTAATTTTACTGTAACCTTACAGTAGATCTAATGCATTTTACACATATACTCATGCATTGTTGTAAAGATCTCTTTTGCATCTAAATAAATATTAAGTAAACACTATGTATATATATATATATTGTAATCATTCAATAATCATTAATCATAAGTGTAATATTAATATATAAATGAATACACAACTGTAGTTTTAATAAAGATATGAATAATATATCGCTTTCAACCCTTAAAACTATTTAACAATTAGTCTAAATCAGTGTTTCTCAACCTCTAATGAATCGTCGCCCCTTCAATAAAACCATTACAAAGTATCACCCTCTTCACTTCAAAATTCTGATGCCCAGGGCCAAGGCTAACGCCAAATTCGTACTGCATTGAATAGACTAGTGACTAGTATAATGTTATTTGTTTAATTATTGTATGATATAATGAATAAAATATCTAATTATTCTTAATATAAAGTTACTATATCACCCAGAAAATTGTTTTTTGCCCCCAAAATATAAATTGTTACTAATTGTCCATCAACATGGAAAACTGCCCACATGGGGGCGATATCACCCCATTGAGAAACACTGGTCTAAATCAACAAGATGCATATATATACACACGGGCTTATCACACCAGTCAATGAAATTAATTAACAAATTCTTTAATGATTATTAACACTTTAATAGTAAAAATTTACAATAAACTGTGGTTCCTTCACCATGTACAGTACAGTACATAATATAAAACACTCAAAATGCATTTTGGACATAATAAACAGTTACTCTTTAATAAAAATTCTTTGCTCTTTTCTCATTTGAACCAGTTTCCCTCAGCCAGCGTCCAGATGAACATTACTTTTGAGTGTACTATGTATGTTATATCTATTATTCTAAATAAAACATTTCCAAACAATTCCTTTATGTGAAATTTATCACATATTTACATATATAAATCAGGAATTCTATTAAAAAAATAAAATAAAATAAAACAGTTCTTTTCTGAGTCAACACACAACTGCATACAATGTTGCCAATGTTCAAAGCAATTCTGCAGATAATTTTCTGAAAGGCTTTTGAGAATTTTCATTGTTTTTGCTTTCACATCTACCAACAAAAAATGTGTTCCTTTGAGCACCAACTTCATCTTTGAGAAGAGATAGACTCAAGGAGCAGGTCTGGCAAATACAGTGAGTGCTTAAGCACAGTGGTGTTATGAATAATTAAAAACCACTTCACAGACAAAGCATTGTGAGCTGACAGATGGTCTTAGTGTAGAATCTAATTGTTTCCTTCTCATGTGCTCACACAATTTTGTCAAGTGTTTACGGTAATATTGCTGATTTATCTTCTGGCAGCTGAGAACCCACTCCCTCCACCATTACAATACCCTAGATTTCAAGAAAACAACAAGGCCTACACTTTCTCTACCTTTCAAAAATTGTTTGTGCCATTCGAAAACATGTATGAAACAGGCACTCTTTGCTCAGTCAATAATTGAAAAGATACAATCATGAACTTCTTCACTTTCACAAGAAACTTGATGTTAACATGCTGTTCACCGTGAATGCCAAAACTTTCTGAATGATTGTAAGAAAAGTCTATATTTGAATATGCTTCCATTCATTCCATTTAATGAACTGAACTTTGTCTCACGGTGACAGGTTAGAACATGCTCTTAACTATCACTTTGTCTCTCTCCTCCTACTCTCAGTTTCTAAGCTATAGGATTAGTCTTTTTTTGTGTCAGTTCTTATAAATTTAACTTCAAATTCATAATCATACAATATTAATAATAAAAAATTTTTAAAAAAATATTTCTAAAAATAATTATAACATAGCATTTTCTTTTGCATCAACAAATAATCTGTGTAAAGTTAAAATATTTATACTAGATGTATTTAAAGCAGGGCTGTCCAACTGGCGGCCTGCGGGCCGTATACGGCCCGCCAAATAATTTTTACGGCCCCCGAGTACATTTTACTATGAATAAATTTATGTTACTAAATTATTATTATTAATATTAAAATTATTTTACTATGTGAAAATTTAAATCTAATTTGAATTTAAAGTAGGTACTATTTAGTTTGCGTAACTTCACTTAACCTGGCTGAATACAGCAGCAACCTTCTTGGCCCCCGAAATGTTTGGTGAAGAAAATATGGCCCGCAGGCTATGATAAGTTGGACAGCGCTGATTTAAAGTATTTTCATTAGAATCCTTCATTAGAATTCTGAATAACAATTCAGAATTAATAAATTCAATTATTATTTCTGAATTGTTAATAATAGAAATGAAATAAATTTTTCATTCTTATTCTTTTCAAGTTGTTATACAAACAATATATATTTCATAATATAAACATGTACAAACATTATATTACATATTATATGCTGCAGCAATAATCTGCTATTGAAATAATAACTAAATATATTTTCATTATTTGTTCTGCAAATAAGTAAGCATATTTAAAACTTCTAAAATAACTCATTAGCACAGTTAGCAGCATTAAAACAGTATTCACAGACTGTAATTCAACAGATAAATACAGTAATACCTCGACTTACGTGAACCCGGAGTTACGCGAATCTTGTTGATTTGTCTTTTGTTTGAGTGCGCCACGCAACTCTTGATTACTCACTCTCCCCACACTATTGTTCAGCTTACATGTTCGGACATGTCGCGTGGAATCGACACATAGCTACAATTTATTTTGTGTTATTTATTTCTGTGTTTGTTATACCTACGGAGACTTGAGAGACTAAATGTTGTGATTTCTTGTAACCATAAACTCGTTAATCTTATTTCGTCTTTTGATTCAAAACACGAGATAAGATTAACGAGAACATTTATTAGCTTACATACACCCGACTTGAATTTTACACAAATTGCGAAATTATACCCTGACTTACGCGAATTTGACTTACGCGGTTATCGCTCGGTCCCACCTATTGCGTAAGTTCGGGGTATTACTGTACCCATAAAGTTCAGAGTTACGAAAACACTTTTATTTTATAGATAATTACTTATATGTATATTTACAATGCTAAAAAAATTAAATAAAGCAAATCATATTAGAATTTACAAATGAAAGTTTTTCTCATTTTATAAGAATTGAATTATACAAGAACTGAATTGTGAACTTGGATGTGGAGACCTGAATGTTGTTAACTGTACATTAATTATGATAATATCTGAAAAATGAAATTCATTTTTAGGAATTAAATAGTAATGCTTACCATCCACTTCAAAATGATTTTCTACACTTGTTTCATTTGTTTCCATTGAATCATTTTTAGGTTTTATATCTGATATTTCTCCATGCAATTCAAATTCTTTATCATCATCTAATCTATCACTTAAAACGATTTTAAAAGCACATCAGTTTATTTTATTCAAAAAATTAAATATGCCAAAATTAATTAACAAAAAATATATTTCTTATATAACAAATAATGTATACAGTATTATTTAAATTAATTTATAATGTAATATTCTTAGTTATACACATGAAATGCTATAATTTTATTCTAGTTATTAATCAATAATATATAATATACAGTATTAATAATAAAAATTTACTTACACATGTAAAATGTTAAGCACAATTTCAAAATTTTGGAGAAAATCATCACATTTTAATCGAGTACCATGTCGAATGCCAAAATCACTAAGTACTTTTTCCTTGTTATCTAAATTTGGTTGAAATCAGATATAATAAATAGAAATACAAATATTTAAATGTAATTTTACCTTCAGTTTCTCCTTCTTCACTTGATATTAGAATAGTTCCTTAAAATATAAATATTATTATTATTATATGTATTTAAACACACTAAATAAATTTAAAATATAAATTTTCTATAATAAAATTATGATTAAAATTTTATACATTTAAAAAATTCTATCTAAAAGAAAAATCAATTGTTTTTGTTTTTGTGTATGTAGATTTACTTTACAAAACAGTAAAAAATATTTTGTCGCTACATCAGTCATCTACATATACAAGTAACAAAAGCCATAAAGTGGTAATAAGCATCAAAAACTATTCAATTAGTACAATAACTAAAATTTTATTCATTATAGTCATTAATGCAAATTTAAATGTAATCAGTAAAAATATGCAAATGTTTACCGCAACAAATTTACTCAGTAATGATTTTACATTTAATGAATTTATACAGAAATAAAATCATATTCAAAAACTGCTAGCATAGTTTATGAAGTTGGTTACTTTCATGCTCCACAGTGAGAATATAAAAAGATTAGCAGAATACAAACAAAATATTAGAAACTACTTTTTTCTAATGATGTAATGATAGTGTTAACAATATTCAATATAAATCAACAAACTTGTTTGTCTGTAAATGAAATTTCATTTTATCAACTTCTCTTTCATTACTAATGTAACAATTTTTACTGACAAATATAATTTGTGAACAATTTTTTATTATTAAAAATTTCAATTTACCTTTTCCATCGTCAATTTCAACATCTGGAGCTACCATGTGAAGTTGGCCTTTCAATATCTACAAACATTTTAAAATTTTATTTAATAATTTTTAGAAATAAAAGTTTTATCATTAATGCAATTTAAGAAAGTTTCATCAAATTTTACAAGAAAAAATTTTAATGTCTTTAAATAAATATTAAAAAAAAATTAAGTTTCTAATACATTACATAAATCAAAATTATAACACAACAAAATAAATTTAATATAAATTTATTAAAGTAAAGTTTTTATTTGAATAACTCCTATTCTAAACTATTAGAAAAAAAATCCTAAGTTTACTTTTGCTAAACATTTTTGGTTTTAATTTCTATCTTTGGAATAGTTAATACACATTGAGTTTTACTTTATACACATGTTCCAATACTATTAATAGTTTAAATCAAGAGTGAATTTCAAGAAAATTTTTGATTTAAATAAAGTCAAAATTTAAAAAATTCTTTATCAAAAGAAAACTTTCTTCTTAAGTTGTTATTTTAACTTTTCAATAGTCATTTTTATTTTCATATTTTATTCACATAATGCTGGCATTTATTTTGTAATAATTGCAGAAAAATGTTTAATAGATTATTTATTTTTGAAATTTAGCTTTCATCCAATCCTGCTTTGTATGAATATAAATTGTTATTACACTTATGTAAAATTTCTGTTTAAAAAACTGAATTTAATATTACTAATATATGACAACAGTGCCTACACATCCCAAAATATGTATATTAAATACTTATCATATCATTTATAAAACATGCAACTCTCAAATAAAAATATTAAAAAATGAGAAATTTTTAAAAAATTAAATATAATATTCTAAATTACCCCTGAAATTCAGCAATTAAAGATTTCAGAAATAGGAGAAAATGGTTTATCAACATAGTAGTTGTAGGGCTTATTTACCATAAATTATGACAACTGATGATTAAAAAAAAACAAATGGATTTGGTATGCAGAAATTACTTTTTGATAATATTCATTATCTTGATTACAAGTATAAAAGTGTTGAAAACAATAACATTTATATTTCATATATCTATAGAATAAATGAAAACTTTTGATTTAATAAAACTTTTATATAACACAAAACTTACCTTCTCTTCCAAACTTTTCACTGATGTAGTTTTTATATTTAAGCTGACAGAGATCTAATAAAAAAATGAATAATTAATATTTTAAGAAATAAATAGTTTATAATGTAAATTCTGCCAAAAAAAATTATTTTTTAAGATAAGTTTTATATTTTGATATAATTTAAAATATTCATTTAGCAATGTTTTAAACTGCTTCAGCTGCAAATTTAAAACAATTTCATTATTAAATTTCCTAATATCAATTATTATAAACATATATTTATACATTGATTATTTTTTAATTGACTTTTTGAAAATATTACATTTTCATCTAAATCTTGTTTTGTTTGGCTTAAACTTTAATCAGTGCACAATTTCATACCCATACCAACAATTACAATTATCTGAGCTGATTATCAAATTATAATCACTCTCCAAAACTGAAGCTGTTGACAATCATAATTAAAGACAATAATTTTTTTTTAGCTGTAGAATGCTGATGTGTCAACTTAATGATAGTTAGTGTAACTGATAGCAAACCATACAGTAAAATGTACAAGGCATGTTTCTTAAGTACTGTTTTGATATTAAAAAAACACAAGCTCAATTTTTTTAATAATTTTATTCTTACATGAAAGCCTTTACCTTAATCTACTTTTCAACATAATTTCCTCCAATAGTAAGGCACTTATCAGATTGTATAAGGTCTTGGGTTCATTGAACCACATGTGGACAGGCATTGTCAAGAAGCAAAACAATCCCCTTACTGAGCTTGCCATGCTTCTTGTTTTGGATGATGAAATCGTAAAGTGTCTTTTTTCTCAAATTTTTGCATCAACTTTCTGTACCAAGTCTTCTGTAATGACAGACAGTCACTCATTATGCTCCTCGTCATGGACATTACTAAGGCCATCTTTAAATGAACTCTAACCCAGTGTTTCTCAACCTGTAACGAACCATCTCACTAAATTGTCACTTCAAAATTCTGAGGCCGAAGACCAAGGCTAATGCCAAATTCGTACTTCATTGAATAGATTAGTGACTATTATAATGTTATTTGTTTAATTATTGTACGATATAACGAATAAAATATCTAATTATTCTTAATATAATGTTTTACTATATCACCCAGAAAATTGTTTTCACCACCCAAAATATAAATTGTCACTAATTGCCCCCTCAACATGGAAAATCGCCCCCATTGAGAAACACTGCTCTAACCCATTTTCTTACCATTCCATCGCTTATAATGTTTTTTCATACACCTCACTAATCTGCTGATGAATGTCATCCACTTTCAAGTCTTTTGTATTAAAAAATGTATCACCGTGCATACTTCACAATCGACAGGATTTTCAATTGTCTGAGACATTTTAAACACACACAGACATATGTAAAACAAACAAATGCTTCCATAATGGCATCTGTGGCTAGCCAACAGATGCAGGTACTCAGTACACATTTGTAGAACACCAACCACAGCATTGCACTGGTCCTATTTTAAAACAGTACTTACTTAAAAAACATGCCTTGTATATTAATATCAAATATAGTTTTCATAATTTATATTGGAAAAAAACTTAAATTATCATTTCCTGACATCAATTTTAAAAATTGATTCTCAATTCACCAAGATTTTCGTTACAATTAGTGCTAATTTCTCTCTCTCTTTTTTCTTAAACTCTTCTCCTTAAACTTAAATATTAAAACTCTTGCTTTTGTTATCATTATTAATTTTTTAAACTGAAGCATATTTTTTCACAATTAATGAACAATAATTGTTGCTGTAATGTAAATAACTCCTATTTCGGTTTCATGTGAAGCAAACTATAAACATAAGATGATTAATCAACAATCAAGACGATTGCAGTGCAAGGACTGCTGGAAGTTTCACTGAAGAATGTAGCATAAGATATCGTTTTTAAGGCCTACACGATAATAAAAATAACATCATACCTCAGGCTTTTCTGAACAAACATAACACTTTGGATTTGGTTTGTCTAAAATACAAGGAACTAATAATTTCTTTCTTTGATTTGGTTGTTTGTTTAAATAAATCTGAAATATTATTTAAAAACTGGAAATAAATATTTGATAATGTTTAAAAAATTACAAACGTCAATAAATGATTACTATTTTTCAAAGAAAATAACTTACTGTTCTGCATTCTTCTAATTTTCCAATTAATACTTTAAGTAATTGTAATACTATTAATCCAGCAATAATTGCATTTGTGGTGGCAATTGCAGGTATAATATTACCAGCCATAGCTATATAAAAATTAATTGCTTTTAGTAGTTTTACATATTATATTTTAATGATTATTTTAGATAAAATCTTTTCTTGAAATTGTCGTAATACTTTATATACATGTACACATCTGCAGAGATGTGAATTTACTACACGAGATAAAATACTTTGTGTTTAGACTTTCATATATTATTATCGTACATTACAAATTATTGTTTATGATATTTAAATTCAAAATGTATTAATAAAAAATCAATAATACAGGGTTCCTACTCAAATTTTTGTTTTGAATTCCCTGACTTTCCCTGATTTTCCCTGACCAACTTTGTCCAAATTCCCTTAACTATAATATTCTAAATTACCCCTGAAATTCAGCAATTAAAGATTTCAGAAATAGGAGAAAATGGTTTATCAACATAGTAGTTGTAGGGCTTATTTATTTGCACAGGATGTAACAAAATCCATGCAATCGTCATCATCCTATAATTAAAAAAATTATTACACCATTAATAACTAATTAAATAAGATGTTTATGAACTAATTTATTAGAGGAATTTAAAACTTAAATAAAATATTTATATACATACATACATACACACAGTTATAAAATTTTAATAAAGAATGAACAAAACTTTCTAGACAGACTATATGTTGTATGTTAGGGAGTATTGACATTGTCAGTTTGATCCCACTGTATCTAAAAATAAATTCATGGACCCCCATTTTTATTATATTTTTGGATTTCTCATTGCAATTAATTGAAAATGGCAAAGTTTAATCAAAATGGATTGATTGGATTTTGAGAATAAACACAGTTCTGTAATCACGTAGAAGAAGCTTTGCTAATGCTCCTCCTCTATTGGCATAATAATTTATGACTATGTTAAAACTTAAAAATATGATTTTTCCTCATTAGATCTCAATTCAAGAAATTGCTAAAAAATCAAAATTTTAATTTTATGTTTATGTTTGAATATTTTAACTTATAAAAATCAGCAGTAATTTGTTCTTTGTATTGTGACATTGTCCCAACAGTAAAACTTATAAGGAAATACAGTAAGATAAGAGTGTGTAAACAAAAAAAATCTACACAACAATCAAATGTCTTTAATTTTACAATATCCAGGAACAAATTTGTCTCTAAATTATGGAATCTGCTCCATAGTAAGTGGCTTTTCAAAATTTAGTCTTGATGAATTAATCTATATAGAGTTCAGACTTGATACATAGTTTAGGTTCTGCTTCATTTTTAGTAAACCCATTTTTATAACTTTCTGTTTCAGCTGGTACCAGAATCATTCAATTAAATACAGCTGAGGAACATTTGAAATGTTCTCTTTATTGATGTAATAGCCTCCATATTCTTTTAGCACAGAAACTGTACTGTTACATAATGAATTAAGCCAGAAGATATACAGGCCATCTGAGTAATGTTTAAAGAAGAGGATCAGTCTCTTCTTAATACCCTCCTTTATGCACACTCTACTGATGTAGAGATAAAAGGGTGCTATGAATGCTTGAGATTTTCCTTTACTGAATGCTACCCAACTTGTCTTAAGAACACTTTGAAGAAATTTTGCATGGCATAAATGCCATGCAAAATCGATATTGATCCATATGGTAAAATTTAAAAATTTTACCTATGGATCAATATCGATCCAATCCTAACAATAGCACATGCTGATCCAGAGCAATCACTTCCATCAAAGGTAAAATACAACATATTGTTTATAATTGTTCAATGTATAGATTATTTAAAGCTTTGAAATCACCTTTGTGCATTTTTTTTTTGTAGTGTGTCCTTTGCGATTGAAATTTTTTTTTTTTTTTGTATATTTTGGCTCTTTCATTTCTGAAGGAAAATATTTTGCTCATCTAATATGTTATTTACATACTGATGAGATATTTTGAACTTTCATCAAAGTTTTCTGACTGCCTTTCTTTTAAAAATTGATACCTTTTTTTCTTGTTATCAAAATTAAAAATAGTATTAAAATGAAATATTTCAGGATAAATTATATCAGATAAAATATCTGAAAACATACACTTCAAAAAAATATTAATGCAGTTATTATTAGTAATTAAATTAAGAGAAATAATGCTGAATAAATGTCATTATTTTTATAATTTTTTCATTTTTCAGTCCAAGAATATTTTTTATCATACATGTTCAAAATTGTATTTCAATAAAGAAAAAACTGACCTTGTCCCAAACTAAATTATCTGATGCATCTAAACTCTGCAATTTATTTTTTAATTTTGATAATGATTGTTCAAATACACTTGCACAATCCTTAATGCTCCATAGTTGCTGATCTTTAATTCCTGCTTTTATTTGATTACTTGTTCCTGCAACTATTTGAAAAAAAAATCTTAAAAAATACTTCAAAATATTTTCTGATTTATAGTAATATATATATTTTGATAAAAATAAATTCTTTAATACAAGATGGTAAAATATACAAACCTGCATCAGGTAAATTATTCCAATCTAAAGGTTTTGGAGGTGTTCTTTTTTGCCACAATTTATCCATAGATAGTAAATAAAGAATATCTTCATGGAAAAGCTATTATTTATAAAGTAAACAAAAATTGCAAATTAATTCAAAATAATTTTTTTCCTGTGGAATCAAGTAATTAAAATTGAAATCAATTTCTTTATAACAAATTAACCAACTATGCTTAAAAGAAAAATTTTAAAATATAACAAATATATTAATAAATTAACATGATAAAATTAATAAGTTTTATTTAAGCAATTTATTAGAAATACTGTATTTTATTTAGGAAATGAACTTTAAAATTTTATTATATATTTTAATGTAAAAATTTTGTTGATTTATTATTTAAAAAGCTCTACTAAAAAAAAAATAACTTTGTATATATTACTTTGTTAAATAACTTTAAAGGATCATAACCACATTTCATTGCCCAACTTCTAGTAGAAACTCTATTAACATCTCCCTTTTCAGAAACATTGTGGAATGCATTTTCACCAGCAGTCACACCTGAAAAATTTTTTTAAATTTATTACTTAAATAAATCAAATTTTAAAAACAGTAAAGCAATTAATGTTATTTAAAAATTTAAACATCCAACATAATAACCAAAAAAAAAAAAATTAAGTAAATGTGTCATTGTGTGTCTGTATTCAGGAATTTCCTAACAACATGACATGTATTCAATATAATGGCATTCTGTAGTGTGATGTATGTGTTTCTATTCAACTGTAATGTACCCAGGCTTTTGTGTAGTGTATGGTGGTATGATAGCTGTAGAGGAGAGAACAACAGGTATAATAAGCACCCTATCCAACTTCTACAGATGCTCTTTTTTTGGTGCACGTTTTGTATATTGTTAGTGTTTAGAATGGCTATGTCTATAATGTATGTGATTTTATTGTGTTTGTCAATGAGTGTGATGTCTGGTCTGTTGTGGTAAATTGTTTTATCTGTGGTTATGGCTCTGTCATAGTATATTTTGTGTGTATTGTTTCCAATACTGTCTGTGGAATGTGTTTGTAGTATGGTTCATGGATGTCTAATAATATACCAAGAGCTTGTTTGCAAGCTCTTGGTATATTATATTTGCTACTTGATTATATCTATGTAAATAATTTGTTTGTGCCAAGGACTTAAAACCAGAAGTATAGTATAGTTTCTGGCATAATGTGACATTTTCTGAATGTGCATCATTTGTGAGTGTTGTATCTTTGAGTATTTCTGTGTTTTCTGTATGACAATCGTGAACCCTTCTGTCTCCCCAAAAAGGCATCCCTGAGCTAACCAGCTGTTGATGCAGTTTTGTCAACAAAATCCTGGGCCAGGTTGTAGAGATACCTGCCATGGAGTGCCTTTTGTACTGGTTATGTTGAATTGATTATAGGGTTACATCAAGGAGAAGCATTGAGTCCTATCCTTTTTATTTTGTTTTGAATGATCTTCATGACCTTCTGAGAGGTCAAGGTTCTATGATAGCACTAGCACACTTCATGTTGAAATTAACAGTTTTCTTTATGCTGACAATGTCCTTTTCTTGGCTAATTCAGCTTCAGCACTTAGGGAAAGATCAATCTTATTTGGAGAGATTGTCAAGACAATCAATTGACAATTAATTTGGAAAAGACAAAGCTTATGATTTTTTGTAGAGATGGTAAACTTAAAAAACAGACAGTTTTGGTTTAGGAAACCATAAACTAGAAATTGTGCCAAATTTTAAATATCTAGGTATTTATTTTTATTCAAAGGACACATTCTTGTACCACTTAAATAAAAGTTTACTTGATGCAAGAACTAAAATCTTTCATCTTATCAAATAATTTATTAAAATTAAAGCATCTTTGTTAAGTAATTATTTTAGATTATTTGATTTCTTGATTGGATCAAGTATTTTTTATGCTTTTCTGGTTTGGGGTAGTCTGTTAGTGGACAGATTTGAGAGAATACAGTTGTTCTACTTTAAGCAGGTGTTACATATTAATATATCTTCTCAGGACTTGCACATGAGAATGGAATTGGGAAGACCTCCCCTCACTATTAATTTATCAAGAAATTTATTTCAGTTTTGGGAGAAACTTACTGACCTAATGGAAGACAATTTTCAAAAGTTCAAAAGACTTTCAAAGATAAATAGTAATTATTTTTTGAAGTCATGGCCTGTTATAGTTAGAGGACTATTAAATAATATGGGACTGTCCTCTAGTTATATGTATTTTTTAAGTGTTCTTTCTGGATTGTGATCAACAACTAAGAGACTTATATTGGTCACAAGATGTTCATTATTTGCATGAAAAGGGGTTGAGGCTCTGGAACTATTAATGGAATGTGAAGTCCAGTGCTATATTTATTATATAATTTGAGTTAGAAAATATAGTCATTTGATGCACAATTTAAATTAAATAGATTTTCAATAAACTTAAACAGTAAAATAATTAATGTCTTGTGTGACAATGAGCGTTCTTTTTGTGGAATGACAGTGATGAATATGAGAAAACACCTTCTTGATTCTTGCAATATTCTTTTGAATATCCAAGCTGCTACACTGACATCTGATTTTTGTTATCAAATTTTACTCGGTGACGGTTTTGCCATGTTAACATTATATAAATTATATACATTTTTTGTTCATATATCAATTTTAAAGAAATAATGTTATTTAATATTATTTGATTTAATGGGTGTTATTTTTAATAACACCCATTAAATCAAATAATAAAGATTCATTAATTGATTTTTGTGTATTTACTAAAATGCATCATTCTATTAAATATATTACAAAAAAACAGAATTAATAACAAGAGACAGAATTTACTTGCAATTTCTAGTTGATAAATTTGAAATGTTGGCTTTTTGGAGATCAAATAAATGTTCTATCATCTGATGCAATTTAAAAGCAGTTTCTAAAGAATTTGATAATTTTAATTAATTTCATCAGCACAGTAATAGTAAAATCAGTTTGATGCCTTTTTACTAAAGCACCTTATTTTATATTTTTAATACAAAATTTGAATTTTGAGTGTGGGTTAGAAAGAACAATCCATAAGAGATTTAGTAAAAATAATTTATATCATTTTAACTGTTATTATTTCATATTTATAATACTTCTAAGGTTTCATTAATATAAGAAAATCCCAAATTAATTTCATAAACAACTTAATCTAGTAATATTTGAAAATTTTTGAATAAAGGCATTATTTAATCTACACAAAATCTTAAAATTTTAACAATACAGCTTAAATGTTCATACTAATAAATGTCCATAAATGTTTTTACTAATAATTACAAATAATAATAGACGAAACATTCATTCATAGTTTAATACTTAAAAAAAATTACTTTTCTAATAGTTAATTAAATATCTCATGTTTATATGAATATTGTTATTCATACTTAATCATGTGTTACAATGTATTCAATTTACAGAAAGCAATAAATTCTATTTACCTCCAAGTTCAGGATCTGCCATGTCCGGAGAGACATCTTCATCTATATCAGCTTCACCAAATAACTGACTACAAAATATTTAAATATATGTAAAATGTAACTTAATTTTCTTAATTTAAAATTTTTATATTTATACAAATATTACTTGAAAAGGTGTTTTGCCCAAATGATGCAGTGAATTGGTTCTGATGGAGTATTTCTTATTGTACATCCTGGATATGTTTTCTGTGTTGGTTTTGGTTGACATTCATAACATTCAGTTATATTCTTAGAAAAATATAAATAATAAAATGAAAAAGCTAACAACTAACTATTTTTTAATATAATTAATTAATAGTAATTATATAAACAAAACAAGCCTAAATAATAAAACAACAAAACTGACAGAGTAAATAGAAATAATATAAATTGAAAGATATCATTTTAATACATTAATTTAAAAAATACTGTAATATTTAAATAATTGGTTATTTACAAAGATATTATTTTATTTCATAGTAAAATATTAAAAAATTATAATTATAAATAAATTTTTAAAAAATCTACATCAAATAACCACACCATGAAAAAAACCTTAAAATGCATTGATAATTTTTAATCTTCAAGAGTTTTTGGTCATTTTTATTGACCTGCTTCAGGATAGTGATAACAATCAAAGGACCGCATTTTAAGGTTCTTCATGATGTGATTATTTAATGCAAGTGCAGTATCCAAAGTAGTAAAAATTTACATCTTTAATAGACAATGTGATATAGGATTTGAGTGAAAGTAATATTTATTCATATATTATTTTCTTAAAATTGGCTCTTACTTTGTTAAAGTAAAAATATTGATAATAGAAAAAATTTAAAACTATATGCATAACAAAATAAGGCTTGACTAAATAAACACACTAAATCTTCAATATCCCTTTTCAATGATACCATGAAAATGAAAAGCAGGAATAGAACAATTAGTTAATTTCTAGGAATGATCCATTATTCTAATATTTCAAAATATAAAATGATGTCTAACAATAAGTTCTTTAATCTAGTTTTTCATATATTGAAATGTTATGAGCATAAGTTTCTAAAATTAGATGCAAGTAAGGGCCTCTTCATGAATTGGCTTAAACATCTTAAATAATGAGTTCTTATTCTTCAAACTCTAGAAAGCTCATTACATTGTATTGTCTAAATGAATATATGTCATATTTTATTATGGCAATTTTGATATTATTCAATCAAAAATTAATTTAATATTATATCATATTTTTATTTGAATTTTTCTAGAAGTAAGTAACAATAATAATCATCATAATGAACTGAAAAATATTTGAAAATGTCTTTACATGATAAGCACATTTAATTTTTGACAAAATGATAAGCACATTTAATTTTTTCAAGTTTTTGTTTTACACAGTCATTTCACTTAAATGACAAGTATTATACATTTATATTAGCACAAAATATACATGAATGTAAAATTTTCAGACTTCTAATGTAAAGATATTTATTTTTCTTAACAAAACTAAAAAGTATCATGTGACAAAAAGATAAACTCATTTCCATATTTCTAAAATTCATGTAATATAATTTGCACATTTGTCCCAACATTACCAAAGACATATTATTAATTAATGACTATCTGCAATTTACAAAACAAGTTTTTGACAGTGCATATGGTCAAAAGAAAATACTTATCAGAATTTGAAAAAGGACAGATTATGGCTTTTAAATCCAAAAAAAGTCAAATAGAAAAATTGCACATTTAATTCATCATAGTCCTTGAGTAATTAATAGATTTTTTCAAGATCCTGTAAATTATGGCCTAAAGAAAAATATAGAAAGACCACATGCAATTAGTGATGTGCCATGTGCCATTTTTTCAATGTGCATCTAACTCCTAAAGATCTGCAAGGCAAATAACTGCTGAAACAGGTATGGAAAACAATGTTTAGAAATGTCCAAAATCTATTGAGGTACAAAGGCTTTTGTCATATCATAAGGATGCATTTTTGGAATTTGCCAAACATGTCATGAGCCATTCAGTGGCAAAATATATTCAGCAATAAAAAAAAATTAACCTAGATGGACCAGTTGGCTTTGCTTATTATTTTCATGACTTAAAGAAGGAAGAAAAAAAAAAGATAAATGGGAGGAAGATCAGTGATGATATGGGGAGCAATAGGATACAAGTAGTAGTGTGATCTAGAAATTATTGGTGGCCAGTAGAATGCTCAAAGATACATTCAGCTATTAAATAAGAATTTTCCATGGTTTGGATGATTAACAGTAGGCTTAAATGGCAGTTTCAACATGAGAATGCTGCAAAACACACAGCATAAGTTATATTTGAGTTGTTAAATAAAATGAAAATTAATTTTTTTTAGACTCCTGCATAATCCTGATTTACATCCTACAGAAAATTTGTGTGGATTGCTTTCTTGTAAAGTGTATGACAAGGGAAGGCAATTTACAACAACACAAGAACTACAAATGGCAATTATAAATGCCTGGAAAGAAATACCTCAAGACTATATTAAAAAATTATATAATTTAATGTCAAATTGCATCTTTGAATTAATTTGTGCATGAGGCTCTTACACAAAATATTAAACTAATATTTTATTTGAATTTATAGTATAAGCTTGTCTTTTTTTGTTGCATACTATTTTTATGTTTGTTAAGAAAAATAAATATCTTTACATTTGAATCTAAAAATTTTAATCTTGTATATTTTGTGATAATATGAGGGTCATTCTAAAAGAAAAGAACGGTTTAATCTGACCAGCTGTGCAGTTCTCCCATCACCTCCAATGCCGGATCATGGACCTTCCCATTTTTTCGCACCAGTCTGACACTAATAGCGAGCCACAATGATTGTTTACTGTTTATAGTGTGACTTTAAAATGTGTGACAAAATTAAAGATCCTGTCAAGTGTGAGGTTCATAGTGTAATACACTTTTGAAAGAGAAAAAAGTCCATCCTATCGAAATTTAGACAGATAACCAAGGTTTATGGTAATGTGATGAATGAAGCTTCAGTTCGAAACAAATGGCAGGGATTGTTGTCCAGAGGCATTGTGCTTCTTCAGGATAACACACGTCTGCATGCTGCTGTGTTGATAAAGAACTTGCTTCAGCAGTTTAAGTGGAAAGTTTTTGAACATCCTCCTTACAGCCAGGACTTGGCTCTGAGTGATTATCATCTTTTCCCAAAATTGAAGGATTTTTTGGTTGGAAATCACTACGAAAGTGACAACAAACTGAAAGAAGCTGTTAATGACTGATACAAGAACTTGGTGGTAACTGAGTGTGCAGAAAAGGCATAGAAAAGTTGATGATACACTATGACAAATGTTTAAATTTGTATGGCAACTATGTAGAAAAATAGCTAAGGTATCATATGTTTTGTAAAATAAGTTTTGTTTCATTATCTCAAATAAAAATATCTAGAGAAACAAAGGTTCTTTACTTTTAGAATGACCTTCGTAATTATGTATCATACTTGTCATGTAAATGAAATGATTTTAAAAAACAAAAACTTGAATAAATCGTGTGAGCTTATCATTTTGTCACTGATTGTATGAAATCCATTTTACTTTTTCACATTTTAATGAGTAATCATTATTAATTTCATTTTAAGATTGAGTTAATTACCTTCTTAACCAATAATCTTGTTTTTAATGTAATTTGACTATATATTTAATAAATTTGACTTTATTTTACTTTTTTTTCGAAAGAAGTTAGAGACAAAATTTATGGAGAAATGATTAAACAACATACATTGCTGGTAAGTATTGTTCATCAGAATTGACTGTTTTTTCTATAAATAGTAAACTGTTATAATACATTAATGCATACCTTCTTAATAACTGTCACTTGTCCCAGGTAACCAGCAGTACCACTTTCAACTATTGGTACATTTGAGGCAAGACACAATCTATTTACATGACTTCGTGCAGCTAAAAAATTTTCATTCAAAATTTATAACAGTTAAATCATTTGATTATTATTTACAAAGAAGTGAATAAAATATGATATATAAGTGGTTTTTATATAAATTTCTAACTGAAGATCAAAAGCATTAAATGGTATCAGTAATATAAAAAAATTTTAAATGTAATTATAATCGTATTTAAAATAACTTATTTACATTTTAATTGTAACATTAGATTAATAAACTTTTATTTTTCTTTCCTAAATAAATGCAATAAAAGATTTATACAACAAAATTTAATAAAAATGTATTATTGTTAATTACTTTCTAAATGCTCTAATTTTCAAAATTTGTGATAATTGATAATTTATTTATTTGTATACAAAATAACTATTCTAAACAAATAAAATCAACATATATGATCAAGTAAAAATAAACTTGATCATATATGTAAACAATATGTTCAAGTTTAATTATAATCAGAATCTTAACAAGTCTGAATTCAATACATGTTAACCAGATAAAAATAGATGTAACACATAACATTTATATATAAACAAGTACTTTATTTATAAATAATATAAACTGTATTTCCAAAACTTTATCAGTTATCTTTTTTGTGTTACACCAATAAAAAATAATTTTAAATTTATTCAAACATTTTTGACTTTATATTGTAAATCAGACACAAAAATAATTATTATTTGTAACAATAATAATTTTAATTATGTTCAATAATTCTTATTAATTCATTGTGCAATATTAAATAATTATGCATTTTAATATTCAGAAAAAAGATATTTTATGAATTTGTGCCCTTTAGTTCTTCGCCTGAGTTAACTCGGGCATGTTACATAGCCTTACATAAAACTCGGTCCTTTCGGCTCCCCCAAAAAATTTTTGTTTTTTTTTTTAATTTTTAGAATGTTTTTTAAGTCTCCAAATTTTTTCAAAAATTTTTACCAGCACAAAAAAATTTTTATTATGATTTTAATGAGCCTTTGATAAGGCTCAATTAAGGCTTAATTGTTTTTAATGAGAGTTTTTTATCAAATTTATTTCATGGTTCCTAAGTTGTAGCGCACGGATTTTCCTTCGGTAAAGTTATTTAAAGCTGCTTTCTCTCATCTTCTTCTTCATCCTATAAATTAAAAAATTATTAAAAATATGATTAAAACTTGCAGTTCAACCAGCATTGTGACAATGTCACAATAAATAATTGCTTGTATATATGTATATATNTTATTGTGATTTTAATGAGCCTTTGATAAGGCTCAATTAAGGCTTAATTGTTTTTAATGAGAGTTTTTTATCAAATTTATTTCATGGTTCCTAAGTTGTAGCGCACGGATTTTCCTTCGGTAAAGTTATTTAAAGCTGCTTTCTGATGTCAAAAACTACTCCAATAGTTTTTTAATTTTTTTAATTAATAGATTTTATTACATACACGTTTAATTAAGTCGGGGGGTCGGAAATCGCAATAAAAAACGTAATTTTTCAAAAATATTTAAAAAATTTACGGCCAGTAGTATTCACCCTACTATAAACCCATCACCTCCCGAGACTTCTATGAGAATGTCCCGGGAAATCCAACTCCAGCTGAAACAATGACTGGTCAAATTTCGCAGAAAGGCGAGACAAAGGAAAATAAAGTTTGAAGCTTTTTCTTCAAAATTAACGCATTTCTTTCGTTTTTTTCAGTTTAAGTACTTTTTATGTTTAATTACATTAATATCAAAAATTGCTGGGAACTTAAGGTGTTAAAAAAAGGAAACTTTTTTTCAATTTTGGGGAACCACTGTGAGCCCTGTATATGTAATTAAAGTTTAATATATTTTGATTATAACATTAAAAATTTCATAACAGTAATTGTAAAAAATTCAATGCCATGGATTCTCTTTTTTACATCAAATGTATAATCATCTACACTTGTCTTGTAATCATTTCATTTCATAAATGGTCATAAAACAGTCATAAAGAATAAGCTAAAAATTATATGTATAAAAATTTAATGAGAGTTTCAAAATGCAAACAGTGATAGAAGAGATGACCAAATTAAATACTATCTTAATTTTTGAATCAGAAAAATGTAAATATAATTAATATTTTCAATTAAATAAGGATTAAAATTTTCAATATTTAATACTAATATTTCATTATAAAACTGACAAAACTAACCTCTGTTGTCTAGAGCATTTAATACTGCAGAAAACTGTTTGAAAAATTCTATTCCATAATCTACACTGGAAGAAAAGAATGCATTAAACTTATGTCCTATATAAAATACAAAACATATTTATTTCTAAATTTTAATAATATTTAATAATTCTAATTTTTATGCATATTTACATATACACACATATATCTAATTGGCATGAAAAGTTCAGATACTTATCATATTCCCATGCATACAAGAGCATGCTCTATTATGTGAAAATGCTCTTATATCCAAGCATAAGAATATGCTATTATAACCAAAACAAGTAATTTTCACACATAAGAGCAAGCTCTTATTTGCAATTTTTTTAAATTCTCCATAATCTTAGTTTTTATAAATTTGCTAGAAAAAGGAAATATGATGAAAATAATAATACTAACAACACAAATAATAAATAACAGTAAATCTCTTATATGGCAACACAGTACACAAGGAAAACCCTTCCATCCATGTATATCTACATTTTATTGGTCATGTACTACTGTGAACAAAACTATTGGGAATGGTTCATTTAAAACTGCATGACTGCAAGAGGGTGTTTTCTTTATTTGGTAAAACTTTTATCAACATCTAGCAGCAATCTGTATGTCATCATCTGTTTTCATTTGCAAATAAATACTTGTTTAGTGTAAAAAATTTTTGCGTCTGCAATTTTTCAAAATATCAAGTATAATTGAGCAAAGAAAGTATATTAAATTTTGTTTTCACAATGGAATTACTGCTACAAAAATGTTGAAATATTGCAAAATGCATTTTGTGATGACAGTCTATCAAAAGCAAAAGTATTTGAATGGTACAACTTGTTCAAGGAAGGCAAAGAATGCATCAAAAATGAACCACTTCAACTGATGAATAACACATCACTCAAGTCAGAGATTTGGTGCTCAATGATTGTCATTTAATAACTTGGGACATTATTAAACATGTTCCAGTATCATTTGGATCTTGTCAAGCAATTTTAAAAAATCATTTGGGCTTGTAGTATGTTGCTTCTCAAGTCATCCAAAAACATTAAATATTTTCCAAAAAAATGCTTTCTTGAAGCAAATCATTTTATAAAACACATCATTACAGGTGATGAAACATGAATCTACTTTTTGATAACAATCAAATGAATGGCACTCAAATGGCAAAGCAAGACCAAAACGACCATGTCAAAGTCAGTCAAAAATTAAGGTCATGTTGACTGTTTTTTTTTTTTCCAATTGTCATTGTGTTGTGCATCACAAATTCATCCAACAGGTGCTTGATTTACGAGATGCGCTCAACTTTGTCACCGAGTGTAATTACTTCCGTTTCAACCAGAAAATCTATTTACAAAAGCAAGGGATTCCTATGGGCTCCCCTTTATCTGCTATCCTAGCAGAGCTTATTATGAGAGAGATCAAGCACAGAACGTTCAATTCCCCGCTTGCCATTCACTATCCGGGGCTGTATTTGCGTTACGTTGACGACATCTTCATAGCGTGGGAAGACACAGATGAGACGTTCCTCATCTTTATGCAGCAACTGTCAAGCATATATCCTTCCATCAATTTCTCTTGGGAGAAAGAAAGCGATGCGGCAATAATGTTCTTAGACCTGCATATATATAAATCTTCGGAAGGACTACAATTCTTGGTTCATCACAAGTCCAGCATAGCTCCACACATTATACCAGCAGAGGCCTTTCAATCTTCTCAATATGTTAATGCTGCCATTGCCTCTCTCGTTAGAAGGGCTTACTTACTATCATCTTCGCAAGAGCTGGTAAACATGGAGTTAGACAACATAAGTTTGGGGGTACGCACTGCTGGCTTTTCACTCCTTATATTTACAAACAATTGCACCCAAATAAGAATGTATTTGGGTGCAATTTGAAAAATTGTAGACCTATAAATTCTAACTATCATTCATCTATCTTTCCTTAATCTCGAGAATAGCATTAGATAGATGAAAGATGAGACCAGATATGGAAACCTTAGGGGCAGGAGGCCCCAATTAACTATATATAAACTTCCAATGCAAACTGGAATCATGTCATTTCAATTAAAAAATTTTTCCCTGAAAGGTGTTAGATAGCATGCCTCTACTGCTAAGAAGCAAGACACTACAGTACTAATTTGAAATGGAGAACACATTATAAATTAAAAAATTATTAAAAATATGATTAAAACTTGCAGTTCAACCAGCATTGTGACAATGTCACAATAAATAATTGCTTGTATATATGTATATATATATATTCTATATATCAAAATTTGACAATGGCTGTGTGTGTTCCATCAAAGTGATATTATCTATTTAAGTTTGTACAATATATACAATCTTATACATTAGATAACATATTTGAGAGTTTATTTGAGTCTTAGAACAGAAGAATTGTCTAATTACACAACTAATAAGTAACAGTTTATTCATGTTGTATTTATTTCAAGTTTAATAAATATTACATTAAGTTTGTAGAAGATTGCACAAAATTTCATATATTCTTTTTAAAAAGATATATTAAATAACATTATCACGAGTACAATAAAGATTCAATACTGTCTGAAATTTCTAAGAAAATGTGCTTCCTTTGCCTAATTTCTTTAATTGTTTATGACAAATAAAAAGTTAATAATTCATTATTTTAGATATAATTATCTTTTAAATTATTTTCACATTGACCATATTCCAATTAAAATCTAAATGTCACTACTAGACAAGGGACAGTTAATTTAAAAGATAATTTACTATTTTATAAATGTAAACTCTTTTAGATAGAAACAGTTGATTGTAGAGACAATGTTTAGAGGCCATTCAGAACTATTCAGAAAAATGTCATTGCAAAGACAGTGTTTCTCACTTGCCACAATGTAGACAGCTATAAGAAACAAATTATTTGACTTACTTTCTAGACTCACTCGACAACAGGTTTAGAGGGCTTTTTAATTTGTGGCAGCTTTGTTTGTGGAAAAGTTTAGATAAAAATGAATATTGTTCCTTTGATAAATGTTGTAAACGATACAAATCAACAAAATTATTCAATTAATTGTTTGGAACAAAAATAAATAAATTAAATACTTTAAATTTGTTTTAAATGTTCCAATTCCAATATTCAAATGAGTGAAGACTTAAAACTACAATTAATTTAAATCAGATGCATTTATTTACAATTTGAGTATCATGTCATTTATAAAATGTTAATGCATTTCGGGATCATTGTAGTTAATCCCCTAGACAGAACATTCTGTTAAACAAAGGAGACAATTTTAATAATTACCAAAATCTTTTTATAGAAATAAAAAAATGTAATAGTAATAATAAAATACTTAAAATTATTCATTTCGACAGTTATGAAGAGAGACAGTAATATGATGTTGAAATTATTCCTTAAAAATCTATTCCGAAGACAAATTTCAAATTTGGTATAAATTTTCTAAATACAGATTTGTTCATATTTTAAACCGTATTGGCAACAAAATTAAATATCAAAATGGAAATGGATTGTCATTAATTGCTGAACAATGGTTGTTGATGGCCTTAAAATTTTTTCTGGAAGCTTTCAGAATATAGCTGGCGATCTTTTCTGACATCACAAACGAATAACCCAACTAGCCGAATGACTCCTAAAACAGGGGAATCATGGCCAAGAAAGTAAGAGCCAATGTTTTGCTGAAGTTCATTTAGAGGATGTTCAGAAATAGACGATTGTTGTCCTTGCAATGCATTTTAAACTGACATTTAGCCAGCCAACATCTACAGGCTGTTCTGTTGTTAAACATCATTTAATGTAAATCCTGTCTCTGCAATCGGCTGAAAGAGTTTAGTCTGAAATACATTTTCCATTAGTGTGTGAGAATAGCTGTCCCAAGTTTTAGCTCAGAAATTATAATTCTGTGTAATGATTTATGTCATTTCTAGATAAACATAATCTTTAATGTAATGTGTAATTACAGTAGACGCCCCTGTAAAATGGGTTCTTATGATACGGATTCGTATATAATGGTGAAACAATTGCGATCGTATTCGTATAAACACTCTAAAAGAGACTCGTATGATACGGTAAAACGTCATTGCCGACTTGTGTCACAATAGGATTGGTCGAATCTAGACCAACAGCGGATATTGCACAAACCGTTGAGTTTAAACGAGCAACAGACCTACTAAAATCCATTTATTATTTAACGGCCATAAAAATTATATTTATATTAATGATGTCTCCAAAGTTCAGCAAATTTTTCGCAAAAAAATAATTTATCAGGAAATGCGCCTGCCGTTTGATGCACCGCTGCACGACAAAAACAAGCTTAAGCAATGGCGTCATCAAATGGTGCACATTCGGTAAGTAATCCTACAATTTTTTGTTTATAGCATAGTTTATATGGATTATTCCCAAAAAATTATACATGTTTTGGAAATGTTGAGTCAAATTAGTCTAGAATCGATTAATTTTATGGAAGTAAACCTTTCAAACAGCCGTAATCTACATATGTGCTGGGCTGTGATTGGCTCATGTATTTAAGTGACTCATAAAACACTGAATTCATATAAAACGGAATGTAGCTACCGTGTTATGGGGGTCTACTGTATATTGTAATACACAGAAAAAATAATTTTAAATGACAGATGACAGAATAGAGGAGAGGCAAGAGAAGAAATCTGAATGAGTGTCATAAATTCTTTCCTATCATGTTCTCTAAACAAAAGATTGAATAGTTTGCAAAGAACCAAGATTAAGCATAAGAATGTTCTTTATTCACTGGTCAAATAAACTATCCTCGGAATATCTATAAACAACTTATTGTAATCAAGATAAAATACGATTTCTGAATTAATATAAAATTCAAGATTTGTACACTTTCCATAAATGCTTTTAATTAAATTGCATTTCTATATAACCACATTCTCTCTTATTATCAATATTCACAAAAATAAAAAACTAATTTGGTGAAAAAGTTAAGTCATGTCTAGCTTCCAAAGGATTTTGAAAAAGCTACAAAGTAACAACTACAAAGTTAAAAATGCACAAGAACAAAAAATTTAATTCTAGAGTGGAATTCCAAAGTAACATTTAGGTAGAATATTTAAAATACTGTAAATTAGGAGTGGCAACCTTTTTAAAATTTGGCCAAATAAAATGCAAAGATGTATGAATGGAGGCTAAATTTTATAGGTTTTTGTGACTTTCTAGCTCATCTGTCAACAAGTTCATTGAAAGAGATGAAAAAAACAGTCAAGAAAGGACTTATACAGAAAATAATACATTGGACAACATATGAAGAATTAGTGTATAATTATAAGTTACAATAAACTTAATTATATGTTATTCTGAAAACTATTTACTATATATAACAATATATGACTGTTTAGTATTTGAAAATGACAATAAGCCAGATTACATACATTTGGGTTGCTGGAGTTGGCCCATGAGCCATAAGTTGCTCACTGCCCTGCAATATATGTTGTTTTATGTGATTCAGTCATTTCAATATTTTAACTTAAAATACACCTATTCCAAATCAGCTTTAACCGTTCTTAAAATCTCAAAAATATATCTCGGTTAACTGACTTTTAGGTTTGTATAGGCATTCATTGACTTTTTAACATTTGACTTACAAACAACACACTCTTTCATATCTTTATAAGCGTTATATCCATTTTTATATCCAAGTTGTATATCCATTTTTTATAAACCAAATTCCTACTTTAGTACATTTTCTGCTGACCAAAAAAAAATTTCATTATTGTGCTGGGACACTTTAGTTTCAATAACAAAATTATTTCTGAAAATTAATTTTTATTCCTATTTAGTATTTAATTAATCTATGATTTTAACATGTTAATTGTTTCATGTATTGCAATATATTCACTTATCAGTGTAACAAACTAAAAATTTCCTACCTTAATAAGATTTAAAAATTTCATTTCATTTCTCTGAAAACTGAAACCACTTTATAACATGCAACTCTATTGTTCATAGACTTTTTCAGAATACATCTTAATAAAGCCAGAATGTTCCATAGTATGTAAATAAATTACTATTTAATTATGTGTATTTTCCAGTATTTTTGCCTTAATTAAATACATTAACATTATTCAAATCTGTCTTCAATTTCTCCGACCTTATATTATTTTCAATATTTGTTTTGCATAAAGATTATATTATTTATTTATTCTATAAGTTTTAAATGAATTATTCATTCTATCATTGGTTTTTGATGTGTTTAAATTGTAACAGAATAAAAGATGAGAGAACAGTTTACTAAATCTGCACAATCCAAAATCTTTTGATATACTTAAAAAATGACACAGACTAAACTATTGCAATTGAAAATAATATAAATACTATCTCTCTTAAAACTGACAGAAGGTCTACATATGTAATCAAAATAACCATTTTAATCAATAAGTAATGATTTCATAATATGTTAATTGTATAAAGCAAACTCAATTAAAAGACTATTTCTAGTAATAAAAAGAATTGTTTTCAAACCGTTCTGGTCATTATTAACTGATTTCAGAATAACAGCTTCTATTTCATATAGATTAAATGTGTTTGAACTGCAAGATGTTACTATATTTTACTAAAGCCAGCAAATAATGAATTGGGATGATCTGAAAAAGATTTCTGATGATATTGATTTTTATATATGAAGCTGATTATTGTCATAATTTTAATCAAAATTATGTAACATGTAGTACTGTTTGTGACTTTTGTGTACTGTAGGTGTCTAATGAATATCTTGATGTATGTCTTGCTCTTAACTAAGTAATAAATTTTAATACTTTATTTTCAGAAACATATATCTCATAGGATAGGTCTAAAATGTTACTCATCCTTGTAAAATATAATTAAAACCTTTCGAAATCAAACATTTTTCTGTTAATTATAAATGGCTGAATGAATGTTTAGGTATACATATTTGGCAAAAATAGAAATTTTTCCAGAAAGTGTTATCATTGAAATCCTATGAATGTGGTGATTCAACTGTGTGCATATAATTAAATACAAACAATATGTACCCAAATTATGTTAATTTTATAACTTTAAATCATAATTATTTATTTAATCGTGTTAATAATCATTATAGATAAGAAAATAAATAAATACACTTTATNCGAGCTGCCCAGTGTATGGGTCACACTATACAAGCAATTAAGTAAAAATTAGCATTCTCCAGAATGCGTATAGTGTGTGTCTAGATCTGCGCATGCACGTATTCGCACATCATGGAGCTTTCTGCTCGTTCGTTTTTCGAACATTTTTGAACATTTCTATCGTGTTCCTAACGACTTTGACTAAAGTTTCAATTTAAATTTAAGTGTTCTATTCCAAATCGGATTATTTCCGTTTAATTCTTTCGGTAAATCTTCGTATTCACCTGATGACGACGACTATATGTTCGTCGAAAGTACTAGCGATTAAAAAATAACACACGTAATGCCGACCTCAGTGTCTTCTCTTTTTACAATATCACAAATTCCTTCTGATTGCCCAAATTGTCAACAAGAATATTAACTGAGAGTTGCTTCATTTGCACGAAGAAATTCATACAAAATAATCTGATTTGTGATGTTTCTCACCATAAATACATTTGCACCATAATAATTCACCTGCTCACAATGCTGTTTTGTTCATGAATTTTTGGCCAAAAGTTCAACAAATACATTTCCATAAGATTTGTATTCACCTGATATGGCACTGTGTGATCTCTTCCTGTTTCCTCAACTAAAATTTCTACTTCATGGTCACTGTTTTGAGTTGACTGATGTCATAAAACAAAATTCACTTTAAGTCCTAAAGGGGTTTCATGAAAACAACTTTAAAGCATGCTTTGAGGATTGGATAAAACATTGGCATTATCACTTATGTCAAGGGGTGGATCTAGGTTTTTAGGGGCCTAGGGCTTAATCAGACAAAACAACTCAAACATTTTTTTTCATTACAAATGGAAATGAAATGACAATAAAATAGAACAACAGTTTGACCATCATAAAAAATTAGAATATTAGCAAAAACAGCTATAAAAAACTAAATTGTAATGCAAATTTACATATTGCTGGGCAGAGCAGAATAACAGTACAACATGAGTTGTACTGTTATTCTGTTATTTTGACATCAGTGACAAAACTAAAGATACTATCATAGCCTTGAACAAAGCAGGAATAACATAAAAAGAAATTGTGAATAATGTAAAGTGCTCGCAGCCAACTGTCTTTAGAGTACTGAAACACCAAAACTGTGTTTAAGTTTTAACTAATAAATGCCAGAAATGTGGACTTAAATGAGCAACGACTATGAGGGATGAGAGAAACCTGAGAAGAATTGTCACGCGGAAACTGCTTTAAAAGCATTAAACACTTGCATGCACAATGGAGAACAACTGGAGTGAATGTTAGTAGCCAAACCACATGCCAAAAGTTGCAGGACTTGCATTTCAACTGTCACGTTTCTGAGATCTCTAATGAAAAAGCATCTCTAATGAAACTGTCATCTCTAATGAAAAAGCAACAACAAGTGCATGTCAGATGGTGCAGAGAGAGGCTCATGTGGGAAGAAGATAACTGGAATAATGTTCTCTTCAATGACAAATCCATGTTTTGTCTCTCCTATGGTGACAAAGGCCCACGTATATGGAGAACAACCAAAGTGGCCTTCGAAAAGGACTGTATGAAAAGACCCACTAAGTTTGTATTGTCCATCATGATCTGGGGATGCATGAGTGTTAATGGCGTAGGACAACTGTGCATTCTTCGGGAAATGTATCAATGCACAGATATATCAAGACATCTTAGACATTTATGATACCAGAGCAGAGGATTTAGTTGAGGAAACATTTCTATTTCAACAAGATGGGACAACCTCTCATACCACAAAGTCACATGTTGGTTACAAGAACAACAGATTCCAATCCTGCTTTAACCAAGCAATTTCCCAGACTTAAACCCCATTGAAAATTTGTGAGAAAGTCACGAAAACTACAACTTAATGAACAATGCTCAATTCTAAAAAGGAACTAGTGACATGCATTCGACACATTTGAAACTGCATCATCAGAAACGAATGTGAAGCATTAATTCGCACCATGTCAAACAGATTGTGAGCAGTAATTATGACAAATGTCAACGCCACAAAATATTAAGTTTATTTTGTTGTATTCCTTATATTTAATTAATCCACATTTAACTAATATTCTAATTTTTTGTCACAACCAAACTGTTATTCTATTTTTTTGTCATTTCATTTCCATTTGTAACAAAAAACATTTGAGTTAATTTGTCTGATTAATGGATATAATAAATATACATAAGCATTGTTTATGCAGTGTTGAAAAAAGTTTTGTACTCTGTGTTGTTTGTGAGAAAATGTACACTAAACTTTCAGTTAGGTGAATATTCTAATTTTTTGTCTAGGAGTTGTATATCATTAATATATTATTAATATCAACTATTTTTTGCTATATGATAAATGCTCATTGTTAATGAAAAAGTATGATGATAATTCAATTTTTGTGGGCCCTTGACAGGGGTCCAGGGCTTGAGCACTATTAGTCCCTATGTAGATCCACCCTTGCTTATGCTGATGAAGGATATAATATATGAATGCCTTTTCCAGATGACAACTTAACTCAATGTTATAGGAACAATGAATAGTCTATTCTGTTCTTGGGATTTGCATTATCCAAGTTATGCAGTCCTTAGAGTGAGTATTGTTATAGTCACACACATAGATATCTGTTATTTTTTTAAATGTTATTTATGTTATTCTCTACATTATCTATATATTTATAAACACACTTACTTTGTTACACTATCATGATGTGCTTCAATTTTGGCTTCTGGATTAAATTTTTGAACATTTTCTTTGGCAACCTTAAAAATAAAAGATAGTTTAATTTTTCAGATAGTTTTTTATTTATAAATTTTATTATATCATCATCTATTATATTATAAATTTATTATAAGCACATGTTCTTTTCTGTATATACATTTTTTTTATATGTGTGTTACTTTTATTTAATATTCTCTTTAGATAATTATTGAGCTCTTTAGAGCAATAAATAATGATGTCATTATTTATTAATTGTACATGTCAAGAATAAAAAAAATATATATATATAGGAAAAACAAGAAAACACTGGAAAAAAGAATTAAAGAGCATTTAGCAGGAATTAGTTTGAAGTATGTAAATTTGCTATGGTTGAAACACGTAAATGAGAAGAATTGTAATATAGATACTTCAGAAACTAAAATATTTAGAGAGAAAATAGATAGGGAAAAAAATATTTATAAAAGAAAATTTAAAAAATTTAATAATCATTAATACTAAAAATAAATTGAATGTAAATAGGCAAATTTTCACTGGTTGGTATATTATAAAAATGGCCACCAGTGCATGACTAAATTGTATCTCGTTACTCTTGTATACTAGAATTCATTGTGTTTTTATTATTATTGTGTATTTTTACCACTAAATAGGAAATGTTAATTGATACAGTTCAAAATGCATATGGTGTAAGTGCATCTCTTCAATAATAAAAAAAGGACTGTTAAAAAGATCAGAGAAATTATTATTATATTCATTATTTTAAAGTGGCTTCCTTTTTTACAAGTTTTTTTAAAATTATATATATAAATATACCTTTTCAAATATATTTTAATTAATCTCCTGAATTTACAAATTAACTTTTAACAAAAAGAAAATAAAACTGGGAATAAAATGTTATTATTATTTAAAAAACTAATTTCAGGTAATTGGAAACAGCATTTTCAACTATATAACAATAATGGTCACAATAGCGAGGTTGAGGCTGAAGTTTTAAACGCAAAAACGTGTACGTCGGACGTTCAGCGCCGCTTTCCTGTAAGCCTAGAAGTTTGACAATGATGTTTGGATAGTCAGTGGAATCATGCTCGATATTCCAAACATCATTTTCAAACTTCTAGGCTTACAGGAAAGCGGCACTGAATGTCCGACGTACACGTTTTTGCATTTAAAACTTCGGCCTCAACCTCGCTATTAATTCTAGTTACAGGACTTTAAGGAAAAGTCATAGATTTAAAAATTAAATATTTTCTAATATTATATTAAAAAAGTTTTGAAAAGGAAAGAAAAACCATGTATGAAAAATTTTACATATAAACAATTTTAAATAATTTCAATAGAAATGTACTTTAATACAAAATTATAATAAAAATGCTGTAAACACTGTCTTTACATGTGTAAAGTATTTTGAAATGAAAGCAAAAACTAAAAATAAAATTACAAAATAAATTTTCACTGTCAGCAAACACTTTCAACAAAACTTCATCTTCATCAGGCAATCAAACAGAACAAAGAATTAAAAAATTTTAAAATCCTTTGTTCTGTTGATTGCCTAAGGAATCTGTTTTATGAAATTCTATAATTTTGAACAGTAATTTTAAAATAAATCTATTTACTTTTAATTAGCATAATTTTAAATATTAAATTTTCTACTAAACTTAATTTAAATTTTTTAAATACAAAAATTGAACTAGAATAATCTTAATTAATTATCTACTTTTAATAATTATTAAAAATAATTGCTAACTTAATTCTTATATTAAAAAATCAATAATTACCATAGCCTTAGATTTTCCCACATGTTCCTTCCTGAATAAGAATTGTCTATTCAGATTGCTGATGTCTATTGTGTCCAAATCAATCTATAAAAAAATTTGAAATATGAATGATAATACAAAAACACTTCAGTAGTAAAATTCTTTTATTAAATAAAATCTAATAAGCATAAAATAAAATGTAACATAAAATTATCATCAATGATATATTACGAAAAAAAAAATTCATTTATAGTTTTAGAAGTGTGATATATGCTTTTGGTGTTATTCTATGTCATCTTATCTAAATAGAAATTAGAAAAATAATCCCTCATCAAACCCTTTAACCGGTATTAAATAAGACTAAAATTACATGCAAACGNACGTGTTACATGGAAAAGTTCGTGTTTGGTTTCTTTACCTTTGACGTTTATTAGCGCGAAAATATATTGCTAATATAATTATCTTTTGTAAATGTCAACCTACAAGCGAAGTTATGTAATTTAACTAAGCTTTAAATATTTATATATATTCTGACAATTGTTATTGTATAGATGTATAGAATGTCACGATGCAGCAGTCTTTCTTTGACTGAATGACAATAGTTAGCTTTTGAATGAAAAGTAATAGCTTTATTAAAATTTACCTACCACGTCTATATTACTGAAGCCCGTTAAAACTAAATTTTTCAATAGTTCGCATCCAATGCCTCCAGCACCAACGACAAGAATTCGCGAATTAAGAACGGCTTTCCTTTCCTCTTCGTCCAATATTCCGCTAATAGAAGCCGCCATTTTGTTATTTAGAAACGTTTTCTATCCAACAACAGATGGCAGTGTTGCAAATATTTTATATATAATAACCATAATAAATAAACCATATATAATAACCACAATAACCAATGACTAAATTATAATAACCAGTTTAATATATATTTATACTTATAAATCAAAATATAGTCTTAGCTGATTCAATACTCTGTACTATTTATAAAAGTTACATTTTTCATATGTATAAAAAGAGTAGGTTTACATGAAATATATACTATTATCATGTTTGTCATTAAATCAATCTGTATAAATTTCAATAAAATCAGTATTTTAATCAGTTTATTAGAATCTAAAAACTCAATTCTAAATAGTAAAGTTTGCTTGAATAACTGGCATCTAATTCAAATGACTGAATTTGAAAAACAGTCTAGTATTCAAATTTAATATTACATCAAACCTGAGGAAGTCCCAGAGAACTTTGTGTATTCTATGTTCGACAAGAATTGTAGGCAATCTGACTTTTTCCAGTATGCTGTAGGTCAAGTATTATAAACTTTTTCAATGCTTTCAATACCTGATGATGGCTGAAAGGCCCAAAAACAGTTGACAAAAAAATTAAGGAAAATAGTCTAAAATGTCTCCAATAAAGATAAACTTACTATGAGGGCTGGCCAAAGTAGATTCAGTTAACATCCTGGATTAACCGAGACAGTCACAGTTTTTGATTCTTTGTCCTGGCTTGGAAAAATATCCATTTTTATTTATAAGTTAATAGTTCCTGTTTTTATTTTCACCTGTTTAAACAAACTATCTTTATTTTTATCTGTTTTGACTTTTCACTAAGACTTTCTCTCTTTGCTAATCAGAAACTATACCAGTGCAATAAGTCCTATTCATAAACAAGGTCCAAGTAGACAATGTAGAAAGAAAGAAAAAGCCATAAAGCTCTTTGACAGCAACATCTGTGAAACAACACTCCTTTTTAGATAACCCAATGTGTTGTATTATCATTATATATTGTCAACATGTTCACAGAGCAATTGTAAAGTTGTCAACAGCTAAGTGTACAGTTTTTTAAACATTTTGATGGTTTTATAATTTTATCATTTTGTAAGCGTGAATCTTGTAATATATTCTTTAGGATAATTTTTGTCTTATATTTAAAATACATTCACGTAACTGATGAAGGGCCATTAACACCAAGAGCTGAAATGCATTTTAAGACATATATAAGGCATTAATTGTTTCATGTGTGTGATAACCCTTTTATTGTAATAATATTCTATGCGTGTAATAAATATACAAATACGTAGTTTATCCTAACTATAAGTTGCATATAGTACTAACATTGTTTTAGTAATGTTTCTGATTTTGTTTTCATCATTATATATGTGTAGTTTTACATTAAACTACATTTGAATGACTAAAATTATGCTATTCTAAAACTAGCATAGTTTTAGTTATGCGAGTACATACTCAGTCTTTGTACTTTTAAATTTTATAATAATAAATTATTCATTATAAGCACATGTAAATGCAATTTTGGAACTACACAATTCAGGAACCAACCTTGCAAGAGTTTATGTCAGACCTGTCTATTATGATAGACTTTAATCAAGTTGTTGTGGAAATTGTATATTAAATGTTGTATTATTTAATTTCCTCACTGGATTATTATTGTATACAGACAAAAACACTCTTGCTAAACAATTATCAATATTAATATACTTTACTGCAAATATTTTTTGCTCGATGCACACGTATTAGTGTAACGTGGTGGAAGCCCAAGCTCCTCACTTAAATAAATAAATGAAGAATAAGACCAAACAACTATAGTAAAAAGATTTAAACGTGATAAATGCACTTACACATATGTATATACAATATCTAAGTTTACTCTTTATTCACAGAGCTAGTGGCTGAATCTACAGGGATGAATGCACGTTTCAATTAGATCATTCCCCTATAATCGTTTCCATTACTCTACTGTGCACGTGTTACATGGAAAAGTTCGTGTTTGGTTTCTTTACCTTTGACGTTTATTAGCGCGAAAATATATTGCTAATATAATTATCTTTTGTAAATGTCAACCTACAAGCGAAGTTATGTAATTTAACTAAGCTTTAAATATTTATATATATTCTGACAATTGTTATTGTATAGATGTATAGAATGTCACGATGCAGCAGTCTTTCTTTGACTGAATGACAATAGTTAGCTTTTGAATGAAAAGTAATAGCTTTATTAAAATTTACCTACCACGTCTATATTACTGAAGCCCGTTAAAACTAAATTTTTCAATAGTTCGCATCCAATGCCTCCAGCACCAACGACAAGAATTCGCGAATTAAGAACGGCTTTCCTTTCCTCTTCGTCCAATATTCCGCTAATAGAAGCCGCCATTTTGTTATTTAGAAACGTTTTCTATCCAACAACAGATGGCAGTGTTGCAAATTTTCAAAAAATTTCCCCTCCCCTTTTTTTTTCTTTCTTTGAAAATTACGTTATTTTAGAAATATTTTAAAATTTTTAAAATTTAATTTTAAGGAATAAAATAATAAAATATAGCTAAAGAATTTAGTAAATATTCTAAACATTTACTGTTGACCATGTCTTGTGGTCACTAATGAACACGTTAGAAGTTGCATATCCGAAGAAACTTAAACCGGATGGCCGAGCGGTCAAGGTGGCAGCCTACCGCTCTGGGGAACCCGGGCTCGAATCCGAACGGGTCGAAAAATCCCCAGGAATTTTTCGGGGGGGTGGTCCGTTCCAATATGTCGGGCCCCGTCCCTCACCACTCGGCAGCCCCATTGTGGGCCCGGCCGAACCCATAATGGGCTTGCAAAAAGAGGTCCTCTTAGTGCCCACAGGGCGGAAAGAGCTAAAAGATTCCGAAGAAACTAAAAATTCAATTATTTCGGGTTTTGTCCAACCCGAACGACACACTGTTTTAATGAATGACATCAAGAGATGTACTGCTTGTGTTTCATGAGTGCTGGCGGTCTCAAGGATTCAACTACAGATGATTGTATATTCATTCTCTCTTTCACTTAACTCTGTAGAATTGATTTTTCGGTCTTCCGTGCTAGGTGACTAATAGTTGGATGACCAACCAGGGCGAGCACCAACCTGTTGCTCTGAAGTCCGAGTTTGAGTATGAACCATCTGAAGAATTTTCGTGAGTTGACTGGATTTGTTGGTCGTTGTACAGTACCTTACTATCATCCAATCATTGCACATCTGATCGAACACTTAATCAATAGCATTTAATCAAGAAAATACGTTAATTTTATGCTTTAGGATTATTCAAAAAATAGATCGCTGTTATCTTTAAAACATAATTAAATTTTACAAATGATTGACTGATCGACCTGCAAAAATACACGGAAGTATCATTGAAAATTTTCCGACTGAAATCATTATATTTGACTTTAAGAGGGGTGACCCATTCTTCCATAATCCTATATAACGACACCCCGGCTCTACATGGACAATGGAAAAGATCTTAGGGACTATAAAACGAAAAGAATAAAAATAAATTTATAGAATACAGTCGACCCCCTATAACACTGTTAATAATTTCGTTTTTATATGAATTCCATGTTGTACGAGTCACTTAGATTTTACAAATACGTGTGCCGGGCTGTGAACGGCACACGTANTGTACGAGTCACTTAGATTTTACAAATATGTGAGCCGTTCACAGCCCGGCATACGTATTTATAAAATCTAAATGACTCATACAACATGGAATTCATATAAAATGGAATTATCAACAGTGTTATAGGGGGGTCGACTGTTTATGTATCATCCAGATACCTAAAAACAAAGTGTCCATTAAAAACATTAAAAATAAAATATAGCCAAAAAGACATAATAATATATCGGAATGAATATTATTCGTTAGATTGGAAACAATTTAAAGATGTTCAAAATTCTTCTGAAATATTTGGAATTTATACAGCGTCAAAATTCAAAAATTCGAAAACAATATAAATAATTGTTTTTTATTTTTCATCTCACAATATGAAATTATCAAGAAATAATCACGACATTGATTATTCAGAAGTGAGTAATTAAAATTTTAAAATATTAATTTAACTAAATCATCATAAATATTCATAATTATATATTTATTTATTATATTTATTAATCTGAATATTTGTATTGTAATTGAATTATGTCCACCAATTAAACACTTTTGATTGATTAATTAACACCAAGATATCAGCATAACTTACAGGCTACAATGTGCTGATATCTGGAGGGTATAAATTTACAGAAATTAATATATATTGTAATAAATTTTCAGACAAGATTTCGGCCATTCAAATCCAGTTATAAGGAAGAAGACGTAAAACAATGGACAAATAAATTTTCACAGATTTGTAATAATGAGAATCATTCAAAAAGATTTCAAGAAAACAAGAGAGATGCTAAAAATAGAAAAGAGATTCATAATACTGTAAGAAAAGTTCTTACTGATATACTATTTAAGAAAGAATTAACAGAAATAGAGAGTCAATTAGACATGGAGAAACAAAACATGGAAACTAATAGGAAAAAATCCCTTTCTTATTCAAATAAATCAATTATTAAAGACAAGACAAATGAGAATGAAATCAATTTTATAATTCCCAGTCATTCGTCAAGTATTAAAAGCGATTATTCAATTATTATTGATGAGGAGGAAGATAAATATGGATTTCCGAAGGAATTTCAAAAAGTCATACAAGTAGAAAATGTAAATTTAGATGTCGAAGCTAAAAAGAAAAAAGGTCATCGAAAGGTTTCAAAAAAACCGAAAACAAGACCATTCTTTACGAGAAAAAAGGCAAGTAAGAAAAAAAAGATTAGAAAAGATGAAGCGGTCGTAAATTTCGGCACCTCTCATGACGAAACAAAACTGATGCCATCTTATGCTGAAGACAAAAGAAATTGTGTCTCAATTACTATCGAAGAAGATCCTGTAAATGTTAATATAAAATCGGTTCAAGTATCGGTACCAGAATCTCATAAACTGAAAGGACCAGTTACAAAAACTAAATCAAGACATATACAGCCAAAAAGAGTGGAATCAAATATAGAAATAAGTACTTCAGGAGGAAGTGTTGGAATTGCTGTTAAAAGAGTAGTGAAAAACGATAAAGTAAAGAAAAAAGCGGAGAAACCTTATATAGTAGTTCAGGCTCCAATAGCTGAAGAAGATGCAGATGAGGATGAAAGGAATAATCGATGTAAAGATCCAATCAATGATAATCTATGTGATTTAGAACAAGGCATGATCGATACAATACTTGTTGGTATAGGAGAAAAGAAAGATTTTCTGAAACATTTTTACTGATTATTTACATGTACTGTTTATCAAATAAAATACTTTAATCTTATCATTCCTTGCTTGACTAATTCTGCAATAATTTTTAATTGCATTATTGTAGTGTATTTAAAATTGAAATTTATATGTTTATAACGAACAACATACTCATATTTATATACTTAATAATATGAAATCTCCCTAAATGAGATCATTATACTTATACTTTACAAAAATTGTAACATAGTAAAATAATCAAAAATANTAATTTAAAAGATATAATAGATGCATTATCAACTAAGAAAAAGTAGAGATATTTAACAGTTATAATATTGAATCTATATGAGGAAAATAATTATAAAATAACCTTATTTATGATAGTATCAAAGATATAAGTTAACTAAGTACAGTCAATAGATGTTAAAACAGAAAGCGCGTCAAAGTCACCTGTAGGCACCACGTTATATCATCAATTAAGAGTGTGGGGTACCACCAACCCTTGACCATCCTCCCATGCGAACCACAACAGATGTCGACAGATCACAGATGCCCATCTTCTCGTTGGTTCCTTCTCCTTCCGGTTTTAAAACTCCTCCCAATTTTGCTCACTTTTATTCGGTTGTTAGACTCCAACTTTTCATTTACTAGTTTTAGAAACCGCTTAACAATTAAACCTGAATGAGAAGTATCATTTACAGGGGTTTGAATTTATATAAGAATATGGAAGCTACTTCAGTAGTAGCTGCTTGTAATATTTCTGCTGGGACGTGGTCTCCTGCAGGAGTTGGTACATTAGAATTGAAGAAATTATTAATGCCTTCCACTCCTAAGCATATTTGTAAGGTGGGTGTAATGTTTATTATTATTTTATAGATAAAGTAAGTACATATTTATATTAAAATATAAATCTAGATTTATGTAGGAATGTTTATATTTAATTTAATAAATGAAAATTAATAGATGAAATACATTAACGTTTTAGTTACTGGTTAAAGGAGGAATGTTGTACGTGTGTGAAGATTATTTTGTTTTAAATTGGGCAAGACTGTTTAGACTTTCTAGAGATTGTACTGAACAGAATATAGAACTTACTAGGAATAGCGAAGGAGGAATTTGTTTAAGAACAACTTGTGAAATTTCTATTGGAATGGAATTATTTGTTTGGTACGGATCCGATTTATTATCAGAATTAGAAGTGCCTTTCTTAACACCAGCTAATATTAAAGGTATGTAGGTTGTAAGTTAATGAATAGCCTAATTGGAGTGGTAGATATTTTATTTTAAAAGTTAGTTATTTAATTCTTTCATTAAAACATTAACTTTGTGTAATTTAAAAATTTAAAATTATGTATTTATTAGCAATATTAAGAATTATATAAAGTTCTAAATGATTTAATTTATTTCTCTGCCCGGCGCCATAACAAATGACTATTCTCTATTTGAAATTTGTTAAAATAAATAAACTACATTTAAAATTAAAGGTAATATACAGAAAATATATTCTTAGGGTCGCCACTTATTTCGCTTTCACACGACAGAAACAACAGCCCAACAAAGTCACAAGGAAGATTCGTTCTTTTTCTTGAAAGTCTTCCTCCCTTCTACATGCAAAGTTATTTAAAATGTCTCTTATAACTGAGAAGTCGACTGTATTTTCAGCCCTCGAGTTACAGTATTAATTATGATAGAATTTAACTGCTATTATGCAAATTATGTAATACACTTTGGTTTCAAAACGTCTTCGTTTCTATATTAGACAAGTTTTTAACTTATAATACAAGTTTACATAGCAAATTGTTCAATTCCGAGGTTTATTTTCTGTTTAGGCACTTTTAGTTTTGTGGAGAATCCGTTTTAGACAGGTTTTATTTCATATATGTTTCATAATTTAATTAGTTTTGAATGATTTTCTAAATTTTAAATTTCAATAATCAAACTCTTCCCTCAATTTCTAGTCATCTATTTAATACGAAAAAAAAAAAACAGAAATAATATATAAGAAAATATTATAATTGCTTTCAGTAATGGAATGTTAAACTGTTACTTATGCTTAGCTAATTTCTAATAGGTTCAGTTCGGATGACAAGAAACTGATAATGTAATTAGTTAAAGCTACTGTTAATGAATATGGCTTTGATTTAATTAACCTGTAACAATTTGTACCGAATTATTTTAGAAAAATTCAGCTACTAATAGCTTTGTTTTTTTAATTATATTTAAATTATAAGATAAGTAATAAATGTATCAATAGATTACAAATGCGGTATATATCCTATTATTTTCAAATTCCTTAAGAAATAGTAAGGATTATAAAGAAATTAGAAGTATTAATTTAGAAGTAATATATAGTGTAAAACTTAGATATGAAAACGTATATTTTTCTGCTTATTTTTTTTAAAATTAGGTTAGCCACTACAGTAGCCGGGTTGGTAAAACCATTGAACACTACTCTTTAGTCATGGGTTCGCGCCTAGTAACGTACTAGACACGTGCAGTTTGCCGTGTTTTCTTCACATTTGTAATACGTAAATAGAGACAAATCTTTATAGAAAGTCATCCCAGATGTGTCGTGTTGAAATATACAAACAAACCCAATAAAAAAATATAAATATTCACTTTTTAAAAATATTTTAATTCATACCAATTTAGAAATTATTTTCATTCACTGGAAATCAAATCATTTAAATTAGCTATATAATATTTTAACTATCCTAAATAAATTAATACACAATAAAAAGAATAACTATTAATACAATTTACACAATAGAAAATAACTATGTATATACCTTCGGACATAATCAAATCATTAATTAATAGTATAATAATCTGAAGGTTCTGGATAATAAATAGTTGCAAAGATTACTTTGTCCTGAATACTTCCATTAATTAAACATATTATATTATTGAAATAAACTAAAATAAATTGTTTTTTTTTTTTACTATTGTTTTTGCTAGGAGGTCAGTCTTATATGTGCCATCTCTGCCAAGCTACTTTTCTTCATCCGAATCCACTGAAAGCGCATCTTTTAATAGAATGTCCAGGATATAAATCTGAAAGATATTCACAAACGGAAGACATGCAAAATCGTTCCGTATCACCTCCCCATATTAATTTAAGATTAAGAAATTATTATTTAGGACAGACAGAAGAATCTGTTTCTCTACCGGGACCATCCGATTCTAAGAAAAATGGTCACGTATGTGTTTATTGTGGAAAGATCTATTCTAGAAGATACGGTTTAAAAATACATGTAAGAACTCATACTGGTTATAAACCACTGAAGTGTCAAGTTTGTTTGCGGCCTTTTAGTGATCCTAGTAACTTAAATAAGCACGTACGTCTTCATGGAGATTCGGATACGCCTTACAGATGCCATTTCTGTGGGAAAGTTTTAGTAAGAAGGAGAGATTTGCAGAGACATCTTAAATCTAGACACGCTGTAAATGAAGTTACTTCTTCGAATGAAGAAGCAAGAAGTTCTGTCGAAACTCTATGATTTCGTGTTTAAAACTTTACTATGAAATTAAACAAAATTACAGTCGACCCCCGTATAAGATCATTGATTATTCCGTTTTATATGAATTCCATTCCATAATTTTACAAATACGTGAGCCGTTCACAGCCCGGTACACGTATTTGTAAAATCTAAGTGACTCGTACAACATGGAATTCATATAAAACGGAATAATCAATGATCTTATACGGGGGTCGACTGTACATATCCGAAAGATATATAAAACTGTAAGTAAAAAAAAGAAAAAACTGAAAATAAAGTAAACCCTCTATAAATTATATTCTTATAAGAATTTTGTAAAATTATATATTTTTTATAATCTTGTTCCTACTCAGAGAATGCTTTTAAATTATTGTATTATTATATTTATGTAATAATAAATCAATAATTAAAATAAAAACAACGAAATAATAATAGAGGCTGTGTGAACATCCAATTTGTAAAGAATACTTCTAAGCATGTCTCTTAATAGCATCGATGTTGACGAATTAGTAAGAGATAATTATGATTTAAATAATTTATTTTTAAAAAAAATGTTTTATATTTGTATATATTTAGACAGATCCAATCGACACTGCAGCTCAGATTTTAAAGAAGATGGAAGATATGATCATGGACGAAATCAAATTATTGATTCCTCGAGTACATACTGTAATTAACGAATGTCAAAACAGATTTCACGTAAATTATAATCGAATTAAAAGAGAAAGAAGTCGTGAAAGCGAGAAAAAATTCATTATTCTGCAAAGGTTTCTGAATATTTTATTTGTAATTAAATTTCTTGTAATTTTAATAGTCTTCCTTTTGTAGATCATTCGAACAGAAATTAAAGAATGCAAAATATGTTCATTCTAATAACATCGCAAGCTATATTGCTAGTTTGAGACGTGAAAAAGATGAGATTCTCAAGTCCATTTCTGAAGAGATAGAAGAAGAAAAACTAATTGATGAAGAAGATAAAGATGAGGAAGATAGAGATAAAGAAGGAAAAGATGAGAAAGATGGAGATAAAGAAGGAAAAGATGAGGAAGATGGAGATAAAGAAGGAAAAGATGAGGAAGATGAAGATAAAAAAGATGAGGAAGATGGAGATAAAGAAGATGAGGAAGATGGAGATAAAGAAGGAAAAGATGAGGAAGATGGAGATAAAGAAGTAAAAGAAGAAGAAGATGAAGATAAAGAAGGAAAAAATAAGGAAGATGAAGATGATGAAGAAAAGGCAGATGAGGAAGATAAAGGGGAAACATTAGTTGAGAATATCTTTGAAGAAGTAGCAGAAGGAATATCCCATAATACTGAAATAGGAGATAATCAGGAAGAACTAGGAGAAGAGGAAATAGAAGAAATTTTAGAATATTTTGACGAATAAAGAGGCATAATATATTTTATATATTATTTTGAATTAAAATTTTATTGAATTAAAAATTTAATATAATTAATTTCAAAAATACTGTCGAATTAAATTTATGTATAAGTACATAATTTAAATTTTTAAATAAGCACGATTGACTCTATATACTGTGTGTCAATTCTTTCAATACTGTTACATTAATTAACATAATTTGGCAATAGTATTGTCAATTTAATACAGTAGTTCCTTGTTATATCGCGCTTATCGGGAGACAAAGAAAAAGAGCGATATAACCGAGTACTAAAGATTATACATGCTATGGAATCTTTATCCTCTATTCGATTCTTTCATCAACAAGTGTTTATGACATAAAATAAGCTTAGTTTTTCAATACTGAATTTTATTCGCGATTATATCGCAGGGATCGAGCTTGCATAGAGCCAAAATCGCCACTTGGAGATATTTTCTCCATACACATCCTGGAAAACAATATGGACAGTCATTATTTTTCCGGCTGTTATATATAACAAAAGGAAAGTATGGCGATCGGTCAAAAAATGTGAACTTAAGACCCCTTAAAACGTCGAGAAATGAAAAGAATGGGTTTTTTTTCTGTATGTGTGGATGGGGAGGATATGAATTTGTTCACCGACTTAATAATTCCCGTGTCTTCTATCGAAAATTTCTAAAATTTTGTATTAAGGAATTGATGCTATTAAATTTTGGTAGTTAAAAATCAAGGGTGGGAGATACAGAGGGTCACGTGTCATATCTCGACATGGGATAGACCCTAAAAATTAATATTTTTGTCATTTTATAATAATATATAATATAAAAAACGTTTTAAAAAAAATCTTAAATGGTGCGTACACAATTTTTAACTCTCACCTACAAAGTTATGCAACTTTTAAAAGACGTTTTTACCTTCATTCATGAAATAAATAAAGGATTTTTTTAGCATGAAAACGAACTTTTATTTATTTTTTCTTTTTAATCTTCAACCTTATTTTTTTCAATTAATTTTCATTTCAGTACTTGCCGGTTTCTATATTACAGGCAGTTTTAAAATAACCCCCGCGAGAAAGGAACCTTCTATTGTTTTTCGTCATCAGATTTGACATAAGCTACTCTCTCTACAGTAACAATATACGTGTCTATTAATTAGGTGATATCAATGCTATGTGGTTCCTTTATTACTTGAACAAACTATGCATCATTTCGAAATTTCCTCATTAATAACTAAAGACATAACATCACTTACAAGTTAGACGTAAAATTTACAAAATTGATACAATTCCACTATCATCATTTTGCAGTGTGTAACGTCTAAGTGGAAGAATATTCCAATAACAAGTGTTTATTAATAAATCCTTCCACAATTTTATTTGATTTTCAGATACGAAAAAAATAATTTATCTTTCCTTTTCTAATTCGATTTTTGTTCTAAACTGTAATGTAATTTTATTAAATTTTAACGTAAATGTTTAAATGAGAGATTCGACTGTAGCAACAATTCAACATCCCTTTGTACTCTTTTCCATTTTTTTTTTCTTAACAGGAATAATAATTGACAGAGCATCAAGTTCGTTTTGATTTAAAATCGTTCTTAGAGTTCTTAGAGTGGATAAGGAAACCCAGTCTATATTATAAGTGATATCAGTTTGTGTGGTAAGGATTTTTGCAAGTCTCTCATCTAAAATCTTATCTCTACATATCTGAAATATCTCCAAGTCTTGAACGGATTGAAACCTATCAGGGTTTAACGTAATGAGTAGTTCTNAATTTTAATTATAATTACATAAGTTCTAAACATTTCTACATTTCACTGTTAATACTTTATCAAAAGCATGAAATTAGTCGGGATTAAACTGAAAAAAGATAAAGATATGTTTCGCAAGTATCGCTTACAGCGACCTAATATGCAGAATAGGAGATAAGACCAAACAGTACTGTTAGAAAGAATTGTATCAAAGAGGTTTTTAAAACAGTACAATGTGAAATCACCACAGAAATGAAGATAAAAGCACAACAGAGAAAGAATTGTAAAAGATTATTTCGAATCTAACTTATAATCTAACTTATTATTGATTTAGTAACTTATAAAAATGCATATGTTAAACATTATTTTTCATTTATTAACCTCTCCTTACTTGGAAAGTTTAGAACTTATCATAAAAATAATTATCAATTAATAATCATTTCTATTACTTCTAGGCTATTTTGTACTGTATACTATATTAATATGACTATATCTTTAGTAAATGTTTTATACCTTCATTATTTAATCTTGTTCGAAATATCTTAATTATTATATTGCATATAACAGCAAATAAGACTGATACAATAATAATAATATTAATTATAGAAGTGGATGGCTTGGATGGTGTAATTGAAAAAGCTCGCTTTGAAATCTCTTCTTCCTTTCCTTCCCCTTCATTTTCACTATCAATTTGTTTTCTCACTAATATTAAAAGAAAACACTTAAAATTATGAATAATATTATTTAATTATTAATTATACGAAATCGAGCTGTTAATAAATTTCTTCTTTATTTGTTCTTCTATAAGACAAAATCAGTTCATGACTATCTTGCCCTTTTCTAGAACAAATAAAGAAATATAAATAGGTTTACTTGTATATTAAATTTCGATTTTCTTTAAGTTTTCAATAATTACATTTTCTGGATTTTATCTTCTGTTCATCACTGAATATATAATATTGATTTCCTATTTGTCCTTGTAAGTTTTAACGACAACTAAATTTAAAAATAAATTTTAATAAATTATTATTGTAATAAGTACAATATATATGATTTCATTTATTAAAATATTATAAAACCAGAAAATTGATAGAAATCAAAATATATTTTGCATTAATGATAATTAAGTGTTTCATACATTTATAAAATTTACCTGGTTTTGAAAGATTTTCATTCGTTAAATCTAAGCTTTGACAAGGGATAGACTTTAATATATTCTCTATCTGTTCGAGTTCATAAAAATAAATTCAAATTATCTATAAAATTCTGAAAATGGACAACATAAAGAGACCATATAATTTCATACTTACCGTAGATTCACACAACAATATCCTCACCTCACTGTCACCGAACAAAGGGTTATTGATCAAAAGAGAACAAATATACACAATAACCTTATCCCACAAACAACAGGTTGCTGATCAAATACAGCAACAGACAAAAACATTTAACATTAATGAAGATCATGTAACCTGTCAGGTTAATCCAACAACAAGCATTGATAATACCACACATACAACAACTACCACTAATGATACTACGGACACTTCCTCGTCCACCACTGATAACACAGATTTAGTTAATACGCTCTTATATTTCAAGAAAACTCACTAAATATATATGTACAGATCCCACACGAAGACCACGAATACCAAAAATCAACACGTCAAAGATAGTAGGAAAAATACTAAATTATGTAAACACTCACTTATTACTACACTACATTCATTTAATTTTTACACTCTCAGACATTCATACATTAGTTTATGCTGGGACAGTCACAGTAGTGACACAGCATGGACTGAAAATACAATCGCATACAGATACACACAAAACACAAGTCTAGCACAAGCCTGCCTGGCAGAGAAGAATAGAAACACAAATAAATGACATTAGACAGCAATTAGGCAGGCTGACACAATACACTAAAAACAACATAACACCCAAATTAAACAAACAACTCAAAAACATTTTCAAGAAAATCAAAACACACAAAACATGAACATCACAACACACACATTACAGAATACATCGATACACTAAAACAAAAACTCACAGCCAAAGCATGTAGACTCAAACAATAGAAAACATGTACACTACGAAAACAACAAAATAAGTTATTTACAAACAATAAAAGCTCTTTTACAGACAAATTAGTAACAAAACAAACACTGATACATAGCACAGTGGCACACCAACAGAAGAAGAACTCATAACTTATTGGTCTTTTCTTTGGTCCAGTGCTGTTACACACAATGCTACATATTCTACACATGTACAGAATACATCCATCACTCATTGCATTTTTCTCAAAACACTATGCAGCACTGGAGAAGAACACTACATTTCAGGGTTCATAACACTTTCATACAAACAAACCAAATATTCATAAGGTGAGGAATGTTTCAAAGAGATTCCTTGAGTCCTCTCTGGTTCTGCTTAGCCCTGAATCCATTATCCAATATGTTAAACAACACGCAATACGGCTACAGTATCAGACATGAAAAAAACAATACAGTTTACGCTGTCACATCTCATGTAAATGGATGAAACTTTACGCATCCACACAAAAACAACTTCACCAACGCCTACAAATCATCCATTCATACACCAAAGACATACCAATAAAGTTTGGCTTATACAAATGCAAAACACTTCACATAGAAAAAGGAGTTCTGAAGAAAGATTTTGCACTTGGAAATGGAGATATTGAATCCATAGAAGAGGGCGAATTCTACAAGTATTTAGGATTCAAACAGGCCAAACTAACAGAACATACACAAATAAAGCAAAGATTAATTAAAGAATACCAAAGTAGATTAAACGCTATTCTCAGAACACGGTTAAAGCAATAAACACGTATGTCATCCCAGTATTCACATATTCTTTTGGAGTTATACATTGAATTCGCACAGATCTTGAGTAACTTCAAAGGAAAACAAGAACAACACTTACTAAGCATAAACAACATCATCCTAAATACGCAATAGAAAGATTAACCCTTACATGTATAAATAGTCTGATTGACATAATTAACCCTCCCTGCAAACAAATATAGACACTGCGAGAGTTTTTCTACAAAAACAAGAAACATCATAGTTACATAAAGCAGTAACTTTAGCAGACTCAAATAACACACCATTAAATTTACACTCACAACATATAAAAAGCATAGACACCATTAAGCAATCGTGGGTTCAAAAGGCACTCCACGGCGGGCATCCACATAAGAGAAACTGAAAGACAACATTTACAAATGACACATGCAGAAAATGTCACATCATGCCAGAAACTATACAACACATCACTTCCGGTTGCAAGTACTTGACACAAACAGATTATTACGTAGACATAATCAGATTATTACGTAGACATAATCAAGTAGCAAATATAATACACCAAGAGCTTGCAAACAAACACAAATTATTAGACATCACGAACCATATTACAGAAACATCCCACAGACAGTGTTGGAAAACAACACTGTCTGTGGGATGTATATACTTTGACAGAGCCATAATCACAGATAAAACTACTTACCACAACAGACCAGACATCACACTCATTGACAAACACAATAAAATCACATACATTATAAACATATCCACTCCAAACACTAACAATATACAAAACACATGCACTAAAAAAATCAGCAAGTTCACAGAACACGCTTAAAAAATAAGGCATCTGTGGAGGATGAATAGGGTGCTTATTGTACTGTACTACCTATCATTCTCTCCTCTACAGGTGTCATACCACACACGCTAAACAAAAGCCTGAAAACATTATAGTTGAATAGAAACACATACATCACACTATATAAGACCTCTATATTGAATATATGTCATATTGTTAGGAAATTCCTGAATACAGACATAAACACTGACACACTTTAATTTTTGTCTTGTTTTGGTTGCTATGCCTCGACTATGGTCCGGCATATTACACAGTCACCGGTGTCAACCGAGTATAACCCACTAAACCCAACATAGTAATAATAGTAATAATAAAAATTTATTGAAAATAACCTTACCAAATTTGTTTCTAAATCATTTGCGACTGTTTCCATTTGCATTGCAGAAATTTCCATTTGAGATGTGGAAGCTTCCATTTGTATCACGGATTCCTCTTTTCCAGTATATTTTCTTTGTTTACAATTTCATCTTACTCAAACTTTACTCTGTTATTAATTTTCAGAACAAATTTTATTTTATAATCCTATTTTTAATTTTATAAATATCCTATAATAGATTTTTGATATATAAATTAATTGTATTTCGTTTATTATTTTATTTGTTACTTTCGGGTAAAGCATGAAGCTGATAAAGTTACTTTCTAATGTAGTATCAGTTGGGAGAAGCCCTTCTATCATCGTTAAATATGTTGACATCATCTACGAAGTAATTGATTGTCCGAATGTCTTCCAATTATAACATGAAAAATTACGTTAATATCTAAATAAGTCCACAGTATTTACGTATGAAATTCGATTCAATAATATTAGATTTATAAGTAGATGATTATATTTTTACTGTTATATAAATTTTAAATTTATAATTCATAAATAATTATTTAATATGATTTATTTCTTACCTGTTATATGAAACCATTAACACTCACACCTTATTTTAAATCACACAGAGGCAACTTTCATTGTAACTTCTCCCTATATGAACTGAAATTTTTAACTTTGAACCGTGGTTTCAACACGTGTTTCAACCACGTGTTGTTGGCTTCGTGCCAAAGTTCATTTCCAACTATCGTTTGCTTCTGTCACGTGAAATTAAACAAATCATCTTATAATATTTTAAATTTTAAAAACAAATCACGTGCAAATGCTTTATGGACAGCACCAGTTTCTCACTGGTGCTGTCCATAAATTACATCTGCATTTCTCTTGAAATTTTTACTTCCTCTTTCCTTCTTGTCCAAGTTTCCGTAACCTCCTCCTTTCTCCGGATGTCCAATAAAACTCGATTCCTCTTTAAAATTTTATTACTTCACGAATGATAGATACTATAAGTAGAAACGAAACATGCAAGAAATTTTGAAATAAATATAATAAAATGCATAAACTGTATACAGTTTAATGAAACGAAAGGAAGTTCAATGAAGCTAAACACCTCCCCCTACTGTAGATAATTGTTTTATCACTAACAGACAGTTCGGTATATAAATAATCCATAACTTAATAAAACTGGAATAATGAATCAATTTAAGAAATTTTGTCTTACTGCTATTCATTTTTAACTTATTCATTTAAAATGTAAAACGAAACTAAATTTTCTAAATACCTATTTTTTTTTTTATATTAAAAGCGAATATTTTACAATACATAGTATTGAAAATTACAATACTATGTCATTTTAAAAACGACATTAAATTAACAAAGTCGTTCATTTGATTTATATTAAATTAAAACATAATTTCATTTTATATGAATATAGTCTAAATACAAAATTCATAATATTTTTAATTTAGAAATAAAAAATTACATAAATTTTTATTTTTTTTTAATTGATAGAACGCAACAAAGAATAACATTGTTGAATTTTATTGTTACTGTTCCATTGTTAAAAACATTCAATGCAGAAGTCGAAAGTTTCATCGAGGTGAGATTTCCATGTATTTGCTAGTGGAATGTTTGTTGTTTAGCGCAGTCACCTCAGGAGAAAGCGCCGAATGTACCCAGCCGAACATCGATGTTCAGATGTGTCCGTGACACACGCTTGCCTTCCGAATATCCCGCTAGCAAAGCCATGTTTTCGGAGACTTTCGCTCGCGATTATCACTGCGTTGTAGCGAGGTATTAGATGTGACCCAGCTGGAGAGTAATGAAAGCGATATTTCGATGCATTTGATAGCGGGATGTTTGGTGTCTAGCGCAGTCACCTCAGGAGAAAGCGCCGAATATACCCAGCCAAACATCGATGTTCAGATGTGTCCGTGACACACGCTTGCCTTCCGAATATCCCGCTAGCAAAGCCATGTTTTCGGACACTTTCGCTCGCGATTATCACTGCGTTGTAGCGAGGTATTAGATGTGACCCAGCTGGAGAGTAATGAAAGCGATATTTCGATGCATTTGATAGCGGGATGTTTGGTGTCTAGCGCAGTCACCTCAGGAGAAAGCGCCGAATATACCCAGCCAAACATCGATGTTCAGATGTGTCCGTGACACACGCTTGCCTTCCGAATATCCCGCTAGCAAAGCCATGTTTTCAGAAGATTGTGTCTATAGAGAGGCATACGAACTCTGCCTGTATTGAAAGCAAGCACAACACGCCATATTGCTGCAATTTCTCAAGAAATGTATTTGGTTAATGTTGAACACGCTGTAAGGCGCTTTGAACATGTAATTGATGCAAATGGATTGCACATTGAGCAAATTTCGTGAATAAAAATCTTTTGCGCGTTTCCATTTTGTGTTTCTTGTTCTACATGCGCCATTTTTTCACCTTGTGGTAGAAATTTAAATTAATTATTTTTTTGCATTTTCCTTTTTCCCATAGTCCATATAACGTATATACCAAGTTTCATCAGAATATATCAAAGAGAACGGGCTCTATACAGGTCTGAATAGGGCAACTTTAATTATAACCGCCCTGTATATAGGAAATCTTTCATTAATTACGTATACAGTTTAAGATAGAAGGGGATTAAAGTATATCATTGTACGCGATGAGGAAGAAGCAGATCAATGATGCATTTTCTACTTGAACTATTTAAGCGATACTGTATTAATGAAAAACGAGTTCATTCTTATAATGACTCGAAAATATTTGAAGAACTTGTTTAGGGACATTAAGGAAATGTCCTTAATGTCCCTAATTAACACATAATTAGATATACGTAATTCATGGGGAAGGATTTGCCGAAAATACATCATTGGTATACAATGAAAGTGAGCTGCCAGATTGGAAAAATAATTAGTCAATTGGGTATTTTTGATGGCACTTTTGTGATCATAAAAGATGGTTTACCCAATTGACGACCATTCCTGATCGGGCGATTTTTAGTTTATGATTTGTAACAGTCGCTACTTAATTGTTATTTTATGGGCCAATTAAAACAGATTTTGTTTATTTAAAATTTTTAAATATTTTTATCAAAATTTATTACAGGGAGTATTTTGTTGTTATAATTTACTTTGATATATTTGTTATTTGCTTGCACGAACAAAACATTATAATCGTTATCCATATTCAGCATTTTTGGACTTTATTTTAAAAATAAAATTATTACCTTAATATTAAATTATGACAATTAATATCACAATTTAATATTAAGGTATATCCAAGAAAGCTGTATAGGGATAACAATTGTATTTTGTTCGTGCAAAACAATCCAAAGTTATGTAATAATAATTGTAATGTAATTGTAAATTATAAGTTATTTATACATAAAGTTTGAAAGATTATAGTCTGAAGAGAAGTCAGGAGCAGGAGGCCCCGATTAACTATAAACGAACTTCTGATGCTAACTGGGATTCACATTATTTCAATTCAAAAGTTTTCCCCTGAACGCAGTTAAAAGATAAATTGCACTACTCTATTGTAAAAGGAAAAGTATGATGTACAGGGGCAAGATACTATAATACTAATTTGAGGTGGAGAGCATATATTTTAGAAAATCCTTACTGGATTTTTTACACAATAGATTCAAGTTAATCAGATTCCACTATATTAATTATTTAACGTTTATTTTGAAATAAAGTAAATGAAAAATTTCTTAACATAAAAACGTGACTTTATTTTCTAATTATATATATATATATATATATACACATATATACATATATTTCAATTCGCAATTTCCGTTTTTATATTAGTGATATAAATATAATTTCACTAAATATCTGTACATAAACTTACGAGTATTTTAAAAATTACAAAAGTATATTTGAATTAACATTTTATCTATGTTTTAAATTCCCAATTAATACTTAAATTATGCGTATTTACTTCACAAAATTACAGATTTTTTTTTAAATTAACATTTTTAGTAAAAACAATTGCATTTTAAAATAAAACTTATAAAATTGATATAATTTCATGATCATCAATTTGCAGCGTGTAATGCCTAGGTTGATGTTCCACCCAATTAAGAGTGTTCATTAACAAATCCTGCCACCAAGAATATTTAGAATATGTTTCAATTTGTTTTTCAGATACGAAAAGAATCATTTCTCTTGCCATTTCTAATTCAATTTTTTGTCTAAATTGCAAATGAATTTTGCCAAGTTTTACAGAAAATGGAGGTTGGTTTATTTGGTTTAAGGCAAAATAAACTAAACTAACAATTTCTTCTTCTCTATAAAAATCTTCAGATCGAAAATTTCTACTTATTTTTTTAAAATCTCTAAATTTATGTTCTATTTCTACAATAACAGTTGATTCGATATCGATTGCAGAAATTGCAGCTTCTAGTAAACTTCGCAAATCTACAAAAACATGTTTATGTTCGTCGATGTAACAAGGACACGAATTTAATTGAAAACAAACATATCTAATTGAGGGATTTGACTTTAGCAACAAGACAACATCTCTTTGTACTCTCTTCCATTTTTCTTTATTTGTTGGAAGAAAAATTGTTACAAGCTCAACTTGATTACGACTTAGAACTTCCCTTAGAGTGGATACTGAATCCCACTCTATGTTATAAGTGATATCAGCTTTTATCATACAGAATTTTGCAAATCTCTCTTCTGAAATCTTATCTCTGCATATCTGAAATATTTCCAAATCTCCAGGAAATTGAATTATTCGTGTTCTTTTCATATTGTATAAGTTTTCGCCTTCTGTTAAGTCTCTTTCCAATCTATCAAAGTCCCAGAAAGTTTGCATGCCATAAAGAAATATGAAACGTAAAAAATTTTTAAAATATCCTTTTATCACCGTAATTCCGTATACTTCCACAGAATATTTATTGTTTTTATATTCTAAATTAAATACATAGAAGGCAGCAAGAAATTCGATCAACATCTGATGAAAAGTAGAAATTGCTATATCGTCTCCAAAATTTGTGACAGGAACGATATTTAACTGTGAAATAATTTCAAATTCCTGTTCGTTGGAAAATTCTTTTTTTAAATCTTTCTCGAGAACAAAATGTTTATCGTTAATTAGATTTTCGAAGATTATTTTCCCCAATCGCAATAACAGTTTCTCGCCTTCTACGAATGATGATTTTTTCAGCAAATAATTATAACCGTATTTTGACCAATATCTACGAATTAGCATTTCAATTATTTTGATATATAAAGTCGTTATCGTTACGTTAAATTCTTCCTCGTGTTTATGAATACTGCATAAAATATTCATCATTTGTGGGCATATTGTTAAATCTTCCAGAAAGACCAAGTTCTCTAAATATATTTCTTTCATCCTTTTTCCTTTCTTCACATCGTCAACAAACACTTGTGCCACGTAACTTATCTGATCTTCTTGCATCAAACCAGTCAAAGAAAAATGCCAATCGAATTTGATTCTGATTGTTTTTGAAACCTTTTCGTTACTTGTTAAAACGACCGTCATTTTAGGTGAAGGATTATTTATTGATGACCGTAGAAAATCTAAGAACAATTGCTTCTTAACCATGTTATCGTATCCATCTAACAGAATGAGAAAGTTTAATTTTGATTTCACGAAGGCGTTAATTGAATTTTCATCTCTAGTTCCTAAAATGGTTTCTGTAATGGCCTCAATAATCGTTCTGTTCCCTAATTCTCGTAACTGAATGACAATTAATATGTCGTATCGTGACAGGTAATGAAGACTCTTTCTTGTAGACCAATCGTATGCCAATCTTCTAACCAATGTTGTTTTACCAAAAAATGGTTTTCCAGTTACCAGTATAAATTGCTTTTGACTAGAAATTCTTTTAATGGTAAATATGTCTTCTAATAAAAATATTTCATTTCTTAAAGAATTTTCCACCATTTTATCTTCGACTACTTTTAAATTAATAACATATTTTTCGAAAGGAATATCGCAAGAACTGTCATACCAAAGATTATGATGCTCAAACGAATTCATTTCTGCATATTTCTTTTTCAGCTTGCTTGTTTTTTTCAGAAGATCCCCATCTAAATAATAATATAAAAATAGAATAATAAAAGTGATATAATGTATGTGTTAATATAGAAAGTTTTGAAATCTTACCACTTATATATCCATTATAATATATTAAAAATCCAAAACAAGAAGCGATAGCAATCGCTAGTAGTAACAGGATGTCAATTATATTTAGGTTGAAGGAAGATTGTCCAATTGTTTCTGAAATATTTGATATATTTATAAGAATAATTAAATTTTAATTATAATTACATAAATTCTAAAAATTTCTACATTTCACTGTTTATAAAATACTTCATTTAAGTCAATACATTTTATGCTTAAAAAATCTACGCTTATCGCCACAGAATTATTAAGGAAAAGCAGTGTAGTGACGGGTAATCCCACTCACTCAGGTATCTCCAAAGAGAATGAAATTGCAAACGCATGATTGGCATGGCTACCTATCAAAATTGTTAATTCTAATAATTATAGGTAATGCTTGTATTTTAGCAACTAATTTCAAAAAGTAATGCCAATGTAATAACTTAGAGATTACATTTCAGTAACAAAAATTTGACTTTTATAAAAATAAATCAATTTTAATTTTAGGTAACTTTATGCTTAATTTGTTAATTCTAATAATTATTGGTAATGCTTGTATTTTAGCAACTAATTTCAAAAAGTAATGCCAATGTAATAACTTAGAGATTACATTTCAGTAACAAAATTAAATAAACATTAATTTTTTGTGATATTTGTGTAGCCTTATTCTATCAATTCAGTCAAATTTTATTCTTTCCTAATACTTGATACTTATTATATTGAAAAAACTTTTCTTACCAAAAAAGTTTTCAACTTACTACTGTAGTTTTTCTTTCGTTGAAACATCAAACATTAATGGAAAAAAAAAAAAAAAAAAAGAACATTCTAAAAACATACTAAAGCTTTATTTTCAGCTAAGTGCTCTTTTATTTTGTATATATTAATTTCAGCTATAGGACTAAGCTATTTATTTTTATTTTTACATTTGACAGATTTTATCCTTTACATTAATATATAAGAATTNAAATAAAACTTATAAAATTGATATAATTTCATGATCATCAATTTGCAGCGTGTAATGCCTAGGTTGATGTTCCACCCAATTAAGAGTGTTCATTAACAAATCCTGCCACCAAGAATATTTAGAATATGTTTCAATTTGTTTTTCAGATACGAAAAGAATCATTTCTCTTGCCATTTCTAATTCAATTTTTTGTCTAAATTGCAAATGAATTTTGCCAAGTTTTACAGAAAATGGAGGTTGGTTTATTTGGTTTAAGGCAAAATAAACTAAACTAACAATTTCTTCTTCTCTATAAAAATCTTCAGAACGAAAATTTCTACTTATTTTTTTAAAATCTCTAAATTTATGTTCTATTTCTACAATAACAGTTGATTCGATATCGATTGCAGAAATTGCAGCTTCTAGTAAACTTCGCAAATCTACAAAAACATGTTTATGTTCGTCGATGTAACAAGGACACGAATTTAATTGAAAACAAACATATCTAATTGAGGGATTTGACTTTAGCAACAAGACAACATCTCTTTGTACTCTCTTCCATTTTTCTTTATTTGTTGGAAGAAAAATTGTTACAAGCTCAACTTGATTACGACTTAGAACTTCCCTTAGAGTGGATACTGAATCCCACTCTATGTTATAAGTGATATCAGCTTTTATCATACAGAATTTTGCAAATCTCTCTTCTGAAATCTTATCTCTGCATATCTGAAATATTTCCAAATCTCCAGGAAATTGAATTATTCGTGTTCTTTTCATATTGTATAAGTTTTCGCCTTCTGTTAAGTCTCTTTCCAATCTATCAAAGTCCCAGAAAGTTTGCATGCCATAAAGAAATATGAAACGTAAAAAATTTTTAAAATATCCTTTTATCACCGTAATTCCGTATACTTCCACAGAATATTTATTGTTTTTATATTCTAAATTAAATACATAGAAGGCAGCAAGAAATTCGATCAACATCTGATGAAAAGTAGAAATTGCTATATCGTCTCCAAAATTTGTGACAGGAACGATATTTAACTGTGAAATAATTTCAAATTCCTGTTCGTTGGAAAATTCTTTTTTTAAATCTTTCTCGAGAACAAAATGTTTATCGTTAATTAGATTTTCGNCATCTAAAATCTTATCTCTACATATCTGAAATATCTCCAAGTCTTGAACGGATTGAAACCTATCAGGGTTTAACGTAATGAGTAGTTCTTTGGTATCTCTTAAACTTACTTCCAACCTGTCGAAGTTCCAGAAGGCATGCATACCGTAAAGAAATATGTAAAGTAAAAAATTTAAAAAATATTTTTCCATTGTTGTAACTTCAAATTGATGTAAACTACACTTATTGCTTTTATATTCTAAATTAAATACATAGAAGGCAGCAAGAAATTCGATCAACGTCTGATGAAAAGTAGAAATTGCTATATCGTCTCCAAAATTTGTGACAGGAACGATATTTAACTGTGAAATAATTTCAAATTCCTGTTCGTTGGAAAATTCTTTTTTTAAATCTTTCTCGAGAACAAAATGTTTATCGTTAATTAGATTTTCGAAGATTATTTTCCCCAATCGCAATAACAGTTTCTCGCCTTCTACGAATGATGATTTTTTCAGCAAATAATTATAACCGTATTTTGACCAATATCTACGAATTAGCATTTCAATTATTTTGATATATAAAGTCGTTATCGTTACGTTAAATTCTTCCTCGTGTTTATGAATACTGCATAAAATATTCATCATTTGTGGGCATATTGTTAAATCTTCCAGAAAGACCAAGTTCTCTAAATATATTTCTTTCATCCTTTTTCCTTTCTTCNCAAAGAAGTTAATTAATTAATAGCAGCTGAAAACACTGATAAGTCGTTGTTAAGTGATGATGAAAATTTAGACGATTTGCTTCCTTATAAGGAGTTAGAGAAGCAGAAATATGCTGTAACCGTATTTGTAGAGAATTTGGAAGTAACAATGAAATTTGTTTCTGCTGCATAATGTGTAGAGATTGATTGCATAACAATTGCAGTAGTTTGCACAGCCCAAATAGCTACAATGCGAGTACTGTTGTACTAAAATCTTGAGTCGAAACAACCAACGAGCGCTATTACCTTAACATGCCGGGTATTATCACTAAATTTGTAATATTCTAAATGAAATAATAAAGTACTTTGTTATTTACATCATTGCAACAAATTGTTACTTTAACGATATATTTCTTTAAATTTAAGTATGTTCTATCAGTTTTCCCTTAAGTGAGCGACATTATCCTGCTTTCACGTATATTTTTCCAAAGTTCTACCCTCTCGTTATTTAGGAATTTTGACATATGTCATCAAAATAATTATTAGTTAATAACCAAAATAATAACATATTATAACTTTTCCCTATTACTTCTAGGCTACAACATATATTTAGATTATGAATACGTCTTTAATTAATAAATGTTTTATACCTTCATGATAGATCATTTTTGAAAATATGTTTATTGCTGTTATTATGCAAATAACAACAAACAAGACTGATACAATAATAAAATCATTAACTCTAGAAATGCTTGGTTTGGATAATATACTCAAAGATCGTTCATCCTTCGAAAGCTTTTCTTCCTTTTCTTCCTCTTCATCTTCACTGTCAATTTGTTTCTTCGCTAATATTAAAATATAATACTTAAAATTACGAACAAATATAATTATAATAAATTAATTTCTTTTTAAGTTTTCAATAATTACGTTTAGATTTTCTGAATTTTAACTTCTCTTCATCAGTAAACACATAATATTGATTTCCTATTTGACCTTTTAAGTTCTTAACTACAACTGTATTTAAAAGAAAATTTCAAGAAATTATTATTCAAATAAGTATATATAATTTCATTTAATAATTACAGCAATATAATATACATAAAAATATATTTTGCATAAGTGATAAAGAATCTAACACATTGTTAATACGATTATAAAGTTTACCTGGCTTTGGAAGATTTTCATTCGTTAAATCTAAGCTTTGACACGAGACAGACTTCAATATATTCTCCATCTGTTCGAGTTAATTCATAAAAATAAATAAATTAAAATTACCTGAAAAAAATCTAAGGAGACGAACAAAATATATTTTAAACAAACCAAAACATAAGGCTAGATTTACGCACTAGTAAGCTAGCATATACACGGAAAGATATTACAATACTTTCTCTGTTATGTACCAAGAGAAAGTATCTTTTGTAACATTTGTGGAGTATCAGCAAAGATTACATTGTTGTCAGCATACAATAATACATGTAACTCAACTTGATCAGAAAGAGAAATCCCAGGTAAGATTTAGTAAATCGCACTATCAAGCCATTAACATGTAAATAAAAAAGCAGTGGGATCAGAATCTCATCCTGTAAAACTGCAATGTCAATACCAGACGAATCAGTCGTTTCGGCTAAAATCTTTACTCTTGCAGTAGCTTTGGAGTATATATCAATTATAAGACTAAGAAACCGTTTATTCATACCCATTCTTACTAATAGAGACCATAAAACTTTATGATTAACGGTATCAAAAGTCGACAAAAACAGCATAAAGTTTTCCTCTCTTTTTTGGAATTTCAACTGCACCAATGCATTTAATTAATACAAATATTTAATCCTGATAAGTCGAAAACGTATTTGCTCCTGACACAAAATATCATATTTAATAAACCAATCTTCTAATCTTTTATTTAATAAAGAAGTAAATAGTTTACCAATTATAATAATTATATATATATATGTAAACTGTGCATATATTTAGCTTTGCATTCGTATTTTTGTTTATTGTTACGCCAAATATGAGTCGCCTGAATTTTGTATGGCAAAGAAGCGTTTGATGTTTAAACTTGAGCGAGTGTGAACATCAAACTCACAAAGAAATGTAATGTGAGAACAAAGAAGTTAATTAATTAATAGCAGCTGAAAACACTGATAAGTCGTTGTTAAGTGATGATGAAAATTTAGACGATTTGCTTCCTTATAAGGAGTTAGAGAAGCAGAAATATGCTGTAACCGTATTTGTAGAGAATTTGGAAGTAACAATGAAATTTGTTTCTGCTGCATAATGTGTAGAGATTGATTGCATAACAATTGCAGTAGTTTGCACAGCCCAAATAGCTACAATGCGAGTACTGTTGTACTAAAATCTTGAGTCGAAACAACCAACGAGCGCTATTACCTTAACATGCCGGGTATTATCACTAAATTTGTAATATTCTAAATGAAATAATAAAGTACTTTGTTATTTACATCATTGCAACAAATTGTTACTTTAACGATATATTTCTTTAAATTTAAGTATGTTCTATCAGTTTTCCCTTAAGTGAGCGACATTATCCTGCTTTCACGTATATTTTTCCAAAGTTCTACCCTCTCGTTATTTAGGAATTTTGACATATGTCATCAAAATAATTATTAGTTAATAACCAAAATAATAACATATTATAACTTTTCCCTATTACTTCTAGGCTACAACATATATTTAGATTATGAATACGTCTTTAATTAATAAATGTTTTATACCTTCATGATAGATCATTTTTGAAAATATGTTTATTGCTGTTATTATGCAAATAACAACAAACAAGACTGATACAATAATAAAATCATTAACTCTAGAAATGCTTGGTTTGGATAATATACTCAAAGATCGTTCATCCTTCGAAAGCTTTTCTTCCTTTTCTTCCTCTTCATCTTCACTGTCAATTTGTTTCTTCGCTAATATTAAAATATAATACTTAAAATTACGAACAAATATAATGACAGGAACGATATTTAACTGTGAAATAATTTCAAATTCCTGTTCGTTGGAAAATTCTTTTTTTAAATCTTTCTCGAGAACAAAATGTTTATCGTTAATTAGATTTTCGAAGATTATTTTCCCCAATCGCAATAACAGTTTCTCGCCTTCTACGAATGATGATTTTTTCAGCAAATAATTATAACCGTATTTTGACCAATATCTACGAATTAGCATTTCAATTATTTTGATATATAAAGTCGTTATCGTTACGTTAAATTCTTCCTCGTGTTTATGAATACTGCATAAAATATTCATCATTTGTGGGCATATTGTTAAATCTTCCAGAAAGACCAAGTTCTCTAAATATATTTCTTTCATCCTTTTTCCTTTCTNGAAACTCTTTATTTTTCTGAAATAAGAATTATAGTTTTCGTATAATATACATTTAAAATTAATTATTATAATAATTTAAATTTATAATAATAAATTAATTAATAAGAAATATTTTACCGATATTCATTCAGTTTAGGAAATCCGGGAATATAATAATTTTTTGATAATATAAAATACATGGCATTAGAAGTCGTTCCAATAAAAATTAATAATGAAAGAAATATTATTCCTAATTTTGGCCATCTGTTCGTACAAAATATAAATTTGTTTTTATATAAATTTTTTAAAATTATATTAAAAATATTATAATAAATTATTTACCTAATCAATATGACTATTATTATCATTGCAACGAGACTCAATTGCATAAGAACAGCGATGAACCACAAATGAGGAAGACACTATAATAAGAGATAATACATTTGTTTAAAAAGTTATTTATATTTGTGCTTTTTCTAACTTATAACAAAAAGTAGCATTTAATTAACCTTACAAATTTAAGATCAAACCGTTATGAAATTTAATATTACCAGCTCTAGATAGTGATGGTTCCAATAATCCATTAACTCACCGTTCTTTCTTTCATAAAAACATTGTTAATATGAATTAGAAATTGCCACCATTCATTTTCGCATTTGTGGCTCGATTCTTCTATTATTTCTTTCCAATGAGGTCCTTCTCCAAAAAGTGGCAAAATTATTTGAAAACTCATTGTTACAAGTACAGGAATTGTCAACCTAAAAAAATTATTAATGAATAAATATAAAAGTAAAATAAGTTCATTCTTAATAAGAATATAATTAAAACAAATATTTAGTAGTTTTATTTTAAGATTTATATAGTCAGGAGTGAGGAATCTTTTAATTTTTGTGGCTTCTAGTACAGCCTGATAAAATATAAAATAATGAAAATAGTTTAATTTTGACTTATAAAAGTATGTTTTCTATTTTTTTTTCCTCTAGTAACGACATGTATTAGCCTATATATACGCAAAATTGCAAGTTAAACTTAATAAGGTTAAACCATAAGGTGAAATTATCATAAAAAGATTTTCCTTTATGAGAATTTTCCTTATCTTACGAGTCTCTTCTCTTATATTATCCTTCTGTAATATGATTTGCATTCTAATTAAAAAGATTCTTCTCCCCTTTGATAAAGTATTTATATATAAATACTTTTACCTAAAATATGTTTTAAAGAAGAATAAAAGATAATCGATTTTCATTTTCTTTCCATGTATAAATTTTTGCCAGTAATTTATAAATGCGCTGAAAATATTTTGAATCGAGGCTCTACTGTATTCCGTTTCTATTGGAAACACTTTTTACACATCCACCGACAATTTTTCGTTATTAATTAATTAATAAGTAAAGAATGTTCTTTAAAGAATTTAATAGCATAATAATTGAACCATCTTTCCAAAGGAATTCTTCAATTACCCAATGAACACTCGCTATCATATCATGAATTTGTTGTATGCCTTTTAGAAGTTACAGATTTAACATCATAAATAATTATTGTTAGGCAGAATATATGACACTATTAACTGGATATTGGTTGTCTTCAGTATCTAGTTGTAAAACTCGTTGTAATGTTGTCATTGGGCTGCAATTTGAAAAAAATTGTAGACCTATAATTTCCCACCGTCTGTCTGTCTTTCTTTAATCTCGAGAATGGAGTTAGATGGGTGAAAGACAACACCAGATATGGAAAGATTAGAGGCAGGAGGCCTCAATTAACTATGAATGAAAACCGGAATTCACGTTATTTCAATTCAAAAATTTTCAAGAAAAGGAAGGAATTAGATTACTAACACGATTCATAGACAATTGTTTGAGTTTAGTTTTGAAAGATTCTTCTGAATGTTGACCAGCAACGTATTGAAAGTACACCTACAGCTGCTTTGATAATACAGTAGAGCCTCGAAAACTCGGCACTCGATAACCCGGCACTCCGGATAACTCGGCCACACCTTGGCAGGGCAAAAAAATCCTTAGTTAATTAATTTTCATTATAGACAGCTTTATAAAAGTATAAAAGCTCTCATAAANTTGTCTTTAATATACAGGTTTATGAAGAAAAACTTCATACCTGCAGACTTCATATTCGTTTGTATCCTTGCCCAATTTGTACAAACTGGCATTACGAAGTTATTGAAGCTATTGGGCATGGTTAAAATTTAAGACAGCATCGACACAATTATTCCAGATATTACACAATACAATATAATAATCAATACAATACAATAATTTATATGGCAATTAGCTATTTGTTTTTCTGACAACCGACAGAAAAAGTTAAAATAAAGAGAAATCCATGTTTAAAAAATACATTAAACTGAAGGAAATTTAACATTGTCTCAATAAGTTGGGCTGTGGATTAGAAAAAAACAGTATAAAATAGCATAAAAGAAACCAGAGATTACTGTATAGCATTGCTTCCCAAAGTAAATTATTTTTTTCTTAAAAACTGAATCGTTTTCTCCGATTATTTGATAAACTTTCCTTAGACGAACATTTATATTTTTGTTTTTTTATAAACTGGATATTTGTGTTTATTTTTTAAATACTTTTGGGAGTTTTTATAATGGATAAAAGGTAGCCAAAAATTATAGTTAGACCTATCTATACATTATTAATATGAGATGATTTCAGGATTCCTGAGAAATCTTTCTTTCTGAGTCAGGAAAAAATCCTTTTCTTTCTAACTCAGAAAGTATTCTCTGGAATCCTATAGGAGTCAATGAAAATTATATAAATTTAATTATAAAAATGTATAGAAATGAATTTGTTACTTATATTATTTGAAATATAAAATGGAGATAGTTTCAACTACAAACATTCTCAGCTGTATCGATTAGTTCATTGATGTATGATCATAAGCAATTTCACCCTTAACATTCTTACAAATTGACCCTCAGTAGTATTAGTGTATAGCAGGTTGTTTTCATCTTCGCTTCTTCCAGTCTTGTGGGAGCGAACCTTTTTCCATATTCATTGCGGGTTTAATCAAACCTACAACGAGGAAGACCAAGTGGTAAAAGACGAGATACGTACGACATATCCGGGAGTAATCACTCATGAAAATTCCTAAGATTTCGGTCCCAGATATGAACCAAAGATCCACCGAATTTTATAATTATTCTACATGGAAATTTAATTACTTTATAGTAGCGAGAGAGAGCTCTCAGAGGCTACTGTTACCAGGACAGGGTTTTGAATGTTAGTCGCCTGCGTGCTACAGGTATTTGGCGACCCCTTTCAATGCCGATCGCCAGTAAATTCATAACTTAACCCAACCCATAAGAGCTACTGCTATGTTTTACTACAGTTTCATATAGTTGACAGGGATTAAAATATATATATATATATATTTTTAACGTTACAAATAAAAACATTTGTACTATTTAAAAACTATTTATTTATCTTATTAATTTAATTATTTAAAATTCTTTTAATATACAGTAAGTATATAATTGTTTTGTAAGTCTTTTCAACGGCACTTTATAAGTACTTTCAGCCTATTAAGTAAAGGCATAAAGAAATAACACATAGATTATCTACTAGTCTAGTT